GAAGTATGCACCTTTGAGGATGAGACTTCAAGAAAAAATGCCATCTGTGTAACACAGTGCACGCACCTGTACTTGAAAACAAAACAAGAAGACAAAGGAATGCAACCCCTGGTTGGTGTGGCATGGATCCCATACACACAGGCAGGTCAGTGTGAAATCAGAAGCAGTGAGTTTCTAAACTGAGATATTGCTGACTCCAGTCAGAACTGCTGCCCCACTTAGCATCCTTCCTCCTACCCTGAACTGTAACCCTTAAAGCTAGAAGGCAGGCTGTTCATTTTTTTCAACTTTAGCTTTTTTTGTTGTTGTTTGCTAGCTTCACATCAACATCAGCCTTCTAAACCCTTGTGTTCACCTTATTATTTGTTACTATTTCCTACATAGATCTTGTATTTGATATGAGAGAAACAAGGCTAGGGTGGATACAGAGCCTGTTTTCAAGTCCCTGCTTCTGATATCACTGCATGGTCTACTCCCAGTCCGTAACTCAAAATGCCTAAGTCATTGCTGGAGAAGAATCAAAGCCTAAGAGTTTGTTACTGGCCAAGAATAACAGTCCTTGCTCTCTCACTGTATTTTCTGTACCATGTCTTACACTCTGAAGGGAAGGAGTAGATAAGTAGCTTGCTGGCCAGCTTTGAGTTTCTTCTATAGTCATAGGAATATGGGTTTAAACCTTCAGCTAAGAAAGATGTTGAACAAACAGAGTTCCACTTTTCAGGTGAGCAGCTATTAAGCTGTCTCACAAAATGCGATTATCACCAAAAGTACCACCTCTTCTGGCTCTGTTTTCAAAGAAAAAAAGTAAACCTAATCAGACTTCACAGACAGTCTGATCTCTGGCAGCCAAATACAGGACAGGATTTAAGCTATGAACCCAGGTCTCGCAGACATGCTTTTTTTATTATTTTTATTACAGCTGCAGTTGGTGTCATTTCCCGACAAGTACGTTCTGAGAGATGCTTCCTGTTTTCATTTTTCCATGTAGTTGCCTTTGGCATCTCCTCACCTCTAACAGACACGTTTGCTCTGGTATCAAATTCCCCCTCTTCACAAGGCATAGGGCATAGGCTTGCTGAACTTGCTAAACCCTGAAAACCCCAAATTTGATTGTGTTGGTGTAGAGTAAGACTGGCTCAGTGGAGTTCATAAGGAAATGCTCTAGCATAGAAAGAACTGGCCTTTAGGATTTCACCACGTTCTCCTTCCCCCCGCCAGGAGGTGGAATATCAACATCCTTTTAGTGCAGACTTACTCTTGCAGACAACAACAGGGATTTCCTGTGGAGCACAATCGCATTTCAGACTGGGGACACAAAACTAGAGGGACTCTCCTGTTTTCCTCACAATGCACTTTGCAATGCTTGACTCTATTTACAAAATTTGTCAAGAGTGAAACGTAAGTATCACATTTTATCATAGAAAACAAAACATCCCGCATTCTGTCTCAATTGGAGATGCTCAGTTGCAAAACTACAGTTTTAGACCTTACATTTAACGTACACAGCAATATTCAACACAGAGTACTAGATGACTGGAAAGACATAAATGAGAGCTGATTTTCCAACTTAACTTTATCTGTGAAATCATTTGCATCCAGTTGCATTCAGACCCATCTTACTGTTGCCACTGGGATAAGCACTGGCCAAAGGCAAAGCAAAATGAGGATTTTTGTCCCAAAGAGTACTTACAAAGTAAATTCAGTAAATTCAAGGATCATAAGAACCGAGGTCGACATATAAGACGTCTACCAGAACTTCACATTTGGAAAAAATAAACTTGTGTTATTTTCAATGCTGAGCAAAACCAGAGCTTTCACCCCTCAGAACAAGCTCAGAAAGCACAGTGCCTCTCCGATGGGGAGATGTAGCCGGGGACTCCAGCTGCAGCAAGCGCAGCTAACGCAAATACATATTCAGGAAAGACTGTGTACATTTGGTGTTACTAAATAAGGTACATTGCCAGACATTTGTTTCAAAAAATGGAAAAAGGCAAAAACGCTCTGCCTAACCAAGGTTGTTTTCACTTAAGGAAAAGCATGTAGTTAAGTCCATTAATATTCAGGTCAGTTCTCATGCACCCACCATGACCTCACTGCTTTCTTGACTCAGCAGAAAAAGGAGTTTATGAAAAAACATCAAAACATGTTTTCTTCTTTATTGTTTTTTTTTTTCTTTTTTCTTTTTTACTTTTTTTTTTTTTTTGAAAAGCTGCTATTACTTAAACCTGTGCAAGTACTTTTAGAACTGTTTCATACTCTCTCATGTATTCCCCCACTCAAATACTGAAACTGCACATTCCTACTTTTGTAAAGACAAAAAAAAAGCCCTCAAACAACCAGACAATTACGTTCACACTAGGTATAAAGAGCTTTAAACTCTTCCATCTGTAGGCATACCCAGAATTAAATCAACCATCAAATAGGAGTATGGGAAGTAATTCTGATTCCATTGGCGTTAGTGGAGATGTAAGGTTTTTTATAATTCTTTCCTACAAAATGGATCAGGAGTTTAAAATGTGCAATTCTGATTTACTCTTTCCCTGCATATGACTCGTAACTTGAAATACTACTGACCAGAGAACTTAAAGCTGATTAATCCAGACTCCTGAAGGCTCCAAACACATATAAAATATTTTGAAACAATGCACATGCAAGCTATTCTGAAACACTTGCTGCCTACTGGGATTTCCAGGTGTACTATCTAGACTTCTGGCTTTACGAAAAACATGTCTCAAGTGTTCTGTGGAAGAATACAGGTCTACAAAGCAGGTACTTATTACAAAGGATTTCCATATGAGCAACAAAAGTTACTTTTATGTGAACAAAGCTGGGATGGATGCGTTAGATCTCCAAGGAGCTGTGCATGGTATCCAACTCAGTCAAATGTGTGTGACTACCCACAATAAAACCATAGAATACCCCGAGTTGGAAGGGACCCGTAAGGATCATCGAGTCCAAAGATGACTTGATGAGTCCATAAAGATGACTGTCATATTCTACTATGTGACAGGGAAATTTGATAAATGATTCAAATAATGGATATGACAGAAGAAATAACTAGAGGCAAACTGGGAACTCTGGGAGCTTTAGGCAATCCCTGATTTTTAATTAGTGGAATATCCTCCGTGGCCTGATAGGCAGAGAGGTTCTGTTTGTTTTTAGGCTGTTGCATCTTCATTCTCTTCATAAGTGGATCGCCACCTTCTGATCAGGCAGTAGGAAATGCTAGGCTGAGGTTACTGATGTCAGTATGGGGGGCAGTACGTGAGTATCACGAGTTGAATGCATATTGTTAAAAATACTAGGCATCATTTTCACCTTCTGGTGGAGCAGTACGTATCACTATGCACACTTTCAAGCTTCACTTGTTCTAGAGCAAAAATTACATGAAGCATCTGGCCTTTCTCGTTGAGGTGAAGTATTGATACTATTAGTGCAATCACAACTGAGTTTTTTGTTCCATATTATGCTAAGATACCTTTTTAGAGATGAAGAGTACTCTGCATGATGTTTTTCATTTAAGTTACTATCTACTTATTGTAGAATACTCCAAGATGGAAGGGACCCACAAGGATCATGGAGCTGACTCTTGGGCCCCCAAAGGACCACCCCAAAATCAGACCATGTGTCTTGAGAACTTTGTCCAAATGCTCCTTGAACTCCAGCAGCTCAGTGCTGTGCCCACTGCCCTGGGGAGCCTGTCCCAGTGCCCGACCACCCTCTGGGTGCAGAACCTTTCCCTAACCCCCAGCCTGACCCTCCCCTGTCCCAGCTCCATGCCGTTCCCTCGGGTCCTGTCGCTGTCCCCAGAGAGCAGAGCTCAGCGCCTGCCCCTCCGCTCCCCTCGTGAGGGAGCTGCAGGCCGCCATGAGGCCTCCCCTCAGCCTGCTCTGCTCTGGGCTGAGCAAACCAAGGGACCTCAGCCATCCTCATGCATCTTGCCCTCTAGGCCCTTCACCATCTTTGTAGCCCTCCTTTGGACACTAACAGTTTTATATTTTTCTTATACTCTGGCACCCAAATCTGCTTGAGGTGAGGCCACACAGCAGAGCAGGACAATCCCTTCCCTTGTCCGGCTGGCAGTGCCGTGCTTGATGCACCCCAGGGTACAGTTGGCTCTTTTGGCTGCAGGGCACTCTTCTGGCTCATGTTCAGCTTCTTTTTATGCAAAAATGCTGTAAACCTCAATGAGTAGATAATAATAAACAACAAGCAAGTGATGCTTGCTCTTGTTTTGGGTCTAAAGTAAGAAAAAGAGGAGATGGGGGGACAGTGTTAGTTCTGTTATTAACATCAGATGTTTTATGTCTTTTTTCCTTTTTTTTAAGTCTCCTCTCAGTATTTAAAGCATATGAGACTATATCTACCATAGATCCTTGTTAGAAGTGACAGATCCACAAATATTTTAGCCTTTGATCTCCAGAACTAGTCTTCTGAGATGAAAGTGCTCCATATCCCAGGCTTCCAAAAATAGTCTTTAGATCGGACTGTCAGATTGGGATAACATTCTGCTACCATTTAAAATATTTCAGAACGTCTAGAAAGAAAATATATTCAACTATATCACCAAAAATTAGAGAGGGGGAGGTGCTGCTTATAATTGGGAGCTTTTCCTTAAAATTTTTGATATAAACAACCAAATCTCCAACCTCTTAGAATCCCTCAGAATACATTCTATACTACTGGGTAATACTGGTTGGACCAGACCATCTTGGAGATCTTTTCCAACCTTAATGATTCTGTGACTCTGCAAAGATGAGCTACTTTTTAAAAACATCCTTATTTAACATGCTATGATGATATGCTTTATAGTACTCAATATATACACTGTGTTAAAATTCTAAGCTAAACAAATCCTAATTGTGGAGGGAAATTAGCCCTATGAAGATGGCTGTATTTCCAGGAGTATCACCAAGTTAGAAGTGTATTTTGTTTTTTGTGTACATACTTCTTAACTCTGGTAAGACTGAGTAAGATTTACATGAATAAACTCAAACTCATGAACGTAAACAATCCCTTTAATATAAGAAATATATCCAACTTTCAAATACAAATTGGAACCAACTAACAAAAAAAAAACCTCAAAACAACTGTCAGAATGCCAAAAAGAGCTTATGCAAAACAGTGCACATTTATTCGAGGTATTGTATCCACACAAAAAAAAATAAAAGAAAAGAATGTTTACCTAGCAAGGCAAAAGCAGTTAGGTGGCATGTACTGAGTAAAGGGATGTAAACAGTGTAAAAGTTCAGAATGTTAATAAGAACCAATTAAATTAGGTTATGAAAACTGGCAGAACGCAGTATATTAAAGAAAAAGAAGCCAGAGGCATGCAAAATATTATTTGTTAAAATACATTCATCCATGTGGCTAAGTGAAAGTCACAAGCTAGTGAGATGGATTTAGAAATACAGTTTTATTTAGTTATTTTCTTTAGATTGATTGTCATTCAGTTTTCCACTGAAGTGGAAGGATTGATGAAAAGCTTGTACAATCCACTGCTAAATGAATTTTTGAAGACTCCAAATAGGTGTCACAAGAGACTTTTTTTTTTTTGGTAACTGTGTTTTTAAGGTTTAGCATGATATACAATCTCACTCGAATTCTACAAGCAAATGGTGCATGATCTTTTACCATTTTGAAAGGTGAGAGCTTGGAGATCAGTTGCTCCAGATGGAATTGAAAGATTATCGTGTTTTTTTCTCACAAGAGCAGTGACAAACTCCAGGGGAAATCTGGTAAGCCACTTAACGTTTTATTTCAAACACAGACTATATTGGCAACCAAGATATAGTAGCGGAATCTGAATCGTGACCTGCAGTGCATGTGCTTTTCAGAAAAATCAAGTTTTGTTTCAGACACGCATCAGGAGCCTAAACAGTGCGAGGCTTTTCACACTGAAGCGATCGTACCAATGCCATCCGCCTCAGACACACTTACAGGTCTTTCTTGTCTTCTGCTTCACTTGAACTCTCCTGAAAACAGAGAGATTAAAAATTATGTTTTATGTTAGCAAAATCAGGAACTGTTGACTCCAGATACCCCATTTTGCCCCTTGTACTGACCCTGTTTGTTCACTTCAAAAACCTGCAGTCCCATCGATCCTACCCCACATAATACGTGTGCTTCAGATCCTAATACATGAACAGCCATGCAGCCTACTGCTCTCTGCTCATGTTATGGTTGAACTGTGCAGCAAACTAAGCAGAAAGTGTTTTCTCCTAACAACTCCTAGGGATAAACCAGCTGAATGCACTGGGTGCTCAGTGCCTTCTGTACTTTCAGTCAGAGGTAAATAGAAAAAAACATGAGGATGTGTCTTCAAGACTACAAGGCCGTTGGAAATGCAGCAGCACTCCTGTGGCTCATGGCACAAGGAAGCTCAAAGATAGGACACAGATGGTGGTCTCAATTTTGGAACACAGAGACCAACTGAGCAGTCTCTACAGAAGGACAGGATGAGGCCTGGAAATCAGTAAGCAGCTTTACACACCACAAGATGATGTCCAGCTCAGATTTGCCTTTTCTGTTTGTTTTTTAATACACAGCCAAACTGCCCTTCTTGAGAAGTGGTCACCAGAATGTTAACATTAATGATGTATTCTATCCCAAGGCTGCTACTTGTAACCAGACTAACACTCCTGTTAACTGACAGATTTCAACCAAAACTGACAGGCTGAGGCAGGTGTTAGGCACGCAACATACCATCACCTCTCACACAAAAAGAACAAGCAGGGCTCCCAGTTTTGCCAAAAGTAATTACTGTACATATTACAAGTATTATAGCTATGCACATATGCAAAACCAAACTGCTAATTCGCCTTTAGTTTATGTTTTTTTGTATTTTGTACTTCAGTTGAATTTTTATACTAGCCTGTTTTTAGCCTAGGCTTCTTTTTTTCCCCCCTTCTTGCATATTAACAGTATTGCAACATTTATAACCTAGTGTTGCAAAAGCATGTTTAGAGAGCAAACAAAATAAAATGGCACCTATGAGCTATGTATATACCACACACACTACTGCTGTCATTTTCTCAGAAGCTTCTGTTTGAACTGAATCTCAACTCCCAAGCAACAGCCAAACAGTATCTGCTGATGACCAGAAGTGCAAAGAAGAAAATGCTAACAGCTTTGCCATCTAGTTCTTATAAGACAAAGTTTTACTATTTTGATGAAGTTTAAGGAGTGCTGTCCATTGTAATTTTATGCCGTAGTAAAGATTTTGGTAAATTCCCCACATCATAAGCGCCTAGCAAGCAGAATTTTGCAGGTACAATTTCAGAATGTTGTGTTCATACAGTGAGCCAGAACCACCTACCTGAAGCCGTTCATGTTCTCTCATCAGACGGTCATATTCTCTTTTAAGGCCATCAGACTGCTTTTTAATGGCTATCACTTCATTATTTGCCTTGACAAGAGCTGTAAAATATCAGGATTTATGTTTTAATTATTACTTGTATTCCTGCAGTTCCTCAGAGCCCTGCTTATATATTAGGTCTCCATGGCACTTGACAGCCCTTCCTCAAAAAAAGCTGAAATTTAAAATGGAGCATTGTAAATGGACACAGAAAGAGATGAGGGGGACAGGAAAGAGAATGCCTTGTATTCAGGAACAGCAACACAAGGAACAGGAAGGGGGGGGGTTGTATGTAAAGCAAGGGCAAGACCAGTAAACTTTTTACTGAGGTAAGAAATGAGGGAGACTAGAGTCTTGTGTCATATTGCAGGTGACAACTCCAGAAAAATAAAACTCTACAACCCCCAGAGCAAAGCTGTCAGACATCTTAAAAGGAAGACAGTATTCAAACACTGCACAGGATTTTAGAAAAGTAACTGAGGCTGTCTAACAAATGGGGGTAGGAGGGATATAGGGATATAATACATTATTACAGGAGCACTGACCCTCCTTTTTGCTCTGTTATCTATTTCACCATGCATGAGTTCATTCACTAGAACCATTGTTTTATGGATGAGAAGGTAAAAACGGTGGTGGTGGGACAGACAACCCTAACAGGCTTTTCCTGTGAGGAAAAATTACTTATTTCTCTACTCCCAACCTCAGCAGTAATAAACCGAGAGCAAGTATACACTGCAGGTCTATGCTGCAGTGCAAAGCACCAGGAACACACAGGGGCTAATTTACAATGCGGGGTAAATCAGCATAAAGTTGCATAAAATCATTACTCCTGAACTGTTATGTGAGCATTCACTTAGACATCATTATATACCTATGCTATAAGTACCTCACATATCTGTATATATATTTCTGCTGTAGCAGCACAGACATATCCAAAAACTTGATTTACTCATGCAGAGAAACATTGCTGATGACCTATATGGATGCCTCACATAGCAAATGTTTCTCTCTATTTGCACCACTGAGATGTGTTTTTAAACATGGCTCTTTTCCTTGTTCCAACAACATGGATGGTCCTTTGTGAGCTGCCTGAGGCACACTGCTCTTTCCTAGAGACTTCCCAGCCACTCAAGAACTGCAGTACTTCTGTAAGAGAGCCTGCTCTCAAAAGCTGAGGAGCTTGCTGTGCTTTCTGTTAAGCCCCTAGCTACAAACACTCTCATCTGAACCATATTTCACTTTGGGAGCTTACTCTTGATCCCTAGTTCCTGAGACATTAGGACATAGGTCTTGACCACCTTCCTACATGCATGAAGGAAAAACAGGGAATGAGGGGGGGGATTTGACTAATTAAACTGGATGTTTAGATTCAAAATAATTTTGAAAAAAATCTCATTTTAAAAACCTTTTAAGTGTTTTTCCAGTAATATGACTTTTAACTCGCCTGAAATTCTGATCTGCTGAAGTTTGTTACATTTAAGCCTATTGACTCCATGGTGCTCAAAAATTCATTCTGTACCTTTGCATCCTTTCACTTCACTTTGCAGAGTTATCTTCTCAATGTAATCTTGCAAACTTCTTTTTCTAAAGGCCTCAATATTTGGATAACCATGATTTCCACATACCTGGCAAGTAAAACGGCACTGCATTTACTCTTTCTGATCCTCTCTCTACTCTTGCTACCGTATAAAATACTGATAGTAAAATTTGGAAATCACAGTGAAGCCAACCTTTGACAATTTGATAAGCTTCTGACTGTTAAGCTGTAGGCAAAATTCACCTCCATATTCCACTTCACCTCTACTAAATTTGCCAGTTTTCCAGTTAACTACGGTAAAAATAGTGTATTTCTGCAGAAGCCCTAATTGACCTAACACTATTCAGCAGTTTACAAGCAGCAGCACAGGACATTGCCTGCATCTGAAAACAGCTGTATCTTTAAAACACGAACAAAGTATCTGGAGGTATCTGCACATCAAGAGAGCAAACAAGCCAGCGCACTGTTTCAATGTTTTGACCAAAACAGATGCGTGACAGGAACACCTCACCTAACGCCAGAAGGGGAAAAGGCAAAGAGCAGATTGTCCTTTCCACCTGCGTTGGCTGCGGATTAGAAAATCGGCCTCACTCCCGCTGGGGCCACACAATACAAAAAAAGTGTTACATTTTTGACCACATGAATTCTCCAGCATGCCAGCTTCTCTGGATATCTTCTTACCAAGCAACAGACTCTCCAGACATCACTGCTCAACTGTTTTGCCACGATGTGAACACTGCCCTACAGCCAAATCAATTGTACAGGTACATTGTTTGTCATATGGATTGCATCAAACGAACACTCCCCCAGCATAAACCAGAAAATAGTTCTTGTACACAACACAGTTGGTTATCGCTTCCAGCCTCCATCTGGCCTCTTGTTTTGCTTCAAAGGAGACCGAGCAGCTGGACTGGTGGCAAGCAAAGCCCAAGAGCTGATTGTTCCTACCAAGTAAATGCATAAGCAGGCATGAGGTGAGAGACACTGCTTCTATGTTAATGCAGCTAAAATCATTAAGTCCCAGAACTGGAATACAGACTACTTTGGGTTGGAAGGAGCCTTAAAGCCCACCCAGTTCCACCCCCCTGCCATGGGCAGGGACACCTCCCACCAGCCCAGGTTGCCCAAAGCCCCATCCAGCCTGGCCTTGAGCACCTCCAGTGATGGGGCATCCACAGCTTCACCACCCTCAGAGTAAACAATTTCTTCCTTTAAATGGAAAATGAATACCTGCTCTTTGTAAGGCCAAAGAAAACCACATGGGTTTCTGAGGCTTAAAGCTAAATTCTGAAAGAATTCTTCCTAATGTCTAATCTAAGTCTCCACTTCTTAGTTTAAAGCCAATTCCTCTTGTCCTACAGAGTCCCTCCCCACAGCTTTCCTGTAGGCCCCTTTAGGCACTGGAAGATTGCTGTAAGGTCTCCCTGGAGCCTTCTCCTCTCCAGGCTGAACAAGCCCAACTCACAGTCTGTCTTCATAGGACAGGAGCTCCAACCCTCTGATAATCCTTGTGGGACTCCTCTGGACTCGTTTGAATAGGCCCAGGTCCTTCTTGTGCTGAGTGCAGCCTCAGTACTGTGAAAGGTGGAGCATCTTTTTTCCATTATTTCCCTTTCCCTTTGAAGAAATTGAAAAAAATCCTTTGGGCAGTATAATATCAGAAGACATTTATGGAAAACTATCCTGTTACACTTACATGTGTGATTGGAGGTCCATAAAACGATACAACATGTACAGTTAGGGAAAGACAGAACTTGTCCTTTCCTTACCATATTCTCTGCATCTTGTCCCAGGATAAGTAGTTTACTTCAGAGATCGGATTTGTCTGAAGTCAAGGCAAGATAAAGAATAAAATTGTTCTAAGGAGGCTACAACAGCCCAGTAGCTGTACTATTTCTATTACCTTCTAATTTCAAGAAGTATGGAGAACCAAAGAGTAGAATAAAAGGAAACAGCAACAAAAGCAGCCTCCACCCCTGGTCTGACTGAATTTCTTGACTTACAGTGCTCACTACTAAGGAAATTTGGAATGATCTGGAATTTAAAATTAGCATTGCTCACAATACAAGTCTAAAACTGAAATGAATTGGAGTAGTTTAAGACTTCAAAAGATCCCTTTCTTGAGAATATTCATGTTGAGGAAGAGCTAGACACATCTCAGAATTTAGGCACAGACGAGACAGGATTTGTCAACAAATCTTTGGAAACACAGCTCCAGTCAAGTAGTACCAGATCAATGCTGAATTCTCTCTTGAAATAATGAACAGATAAACACAAAATGAGAGAAGGCAGAACCAAACAAAATTACACAAAGTGATTTCAAGTACCTTTGACAACCTCAAATGCAACATCATTACAAAGTGACATTACAGCAGATGATGTAAATGGCCTTGTACAAACAAAACCACACTTGCTGTATGCAGTACCATCCCTCGGAGACAACAAAAAATGAATACAAGCTTTTCTTGCATGTGCCATTGTGCAACGGCTCCCACCATGGCTATGATCTCAGTTAAAAACGTTAAGAAAGATGGACTTTGGTTTCTAAACCTCCCCCTGCCATTGGCTCAATAACACGAGACCACGGTCAATTCATTCCCCTGTCTCATGTCTCCTATTCCCAGCTTACAAAAGAAAGCTGATAAAGGGAGGTATTTTGTTTGTTTGATTTCAAGAACTGGAGTGCTTCAGCAGAGCTCAACATCAATACTGTTTTCATATGTGTGTCACCAGCCTGCCCAGCAGCACAAAAGCCCGGCTGAATTCTCACTGGTGGCAACAGTTCTAGGAAATGTATTCCCAAGGTCTGCATTTATCACTTGTATCTTTCCAACACCCAGTGTCATCTTGGTGTTTAGGGGAGAACTGTGTATCTGTACGTGCACACTTCCTAGAACAGTCAACAGTTAAAAAAACTACTTCTAAACCAGCTCTCTCCACATCTTGCTGTTCTCTTACTTCTGTCTCCTACAGAGCTGTGCAACCATGAAACAAAACCCACCCTTGTTACACATTCTGACGTTCTGTACAGCACACAAACCTCACTGAAGGACGCACAGAGGTTTCATCGGAATTTTCTCCTGCCCTCGTTGCATGTTTAGAATAAAAATACATATAAATAAAGAGTATTTTCAGGAAAAAGTTGAACTGAAGCTCAAAGGCAGCCAAGTTCCTTTGATAAGTTAGTACAAAGAGTGAAATCCTAATGGCAGAGACGTGTTATCTTTGCATTTCTTCTCAATGTGGCACCACAGTCTCAGCTCAAAGATGCCATGAAGTCACAGCTCAACAACTGTACGCAGCTGCTGGGGACAACAATGTCCCCTATGCTCCATTAGCCAGAGGTAGAAGCTTTAGGTGCACGTCATTTGCTATGACACACTGTTAGAAGAGTGAGGAAGGGGTCGACAAGCTGGCTGGGAGTCCACCAGGAGCACCAGTCTGTTCTTTTACAAGACTCGACCGATACTGGTTGTTCTGTATAAATTTCTGTTGTGTAAATAAAGCTGGAGCCTCCACCATACACTGGGACGGCGTCACCAAAAAGATGACCCGAGATAGCAGAAAGTGGAATAGTACAGCCGTGAGCAAGTCCTGCCCTCAACCCAAGGATGGCTGCTTCACCAAACGTCCTTTGACTCCAACCTCATCTCCGACAAAAATCCCATAGGTCTGATGCTGGCAGCCACAGAGATCCTTTAATTCTCTCAAGTCAACATTTTGTTAGAAACGCATCTAACGTGCATCAGGAAAAGCACACTCACCTCTGCATTGCCTGCTCCTAAGATTACTCATACTTTATCTCAGATAGTGAGACATTTTCCTCAACTGACAAGTGTATCAATAAAATGCCATCTCAGAGGGTTTTAAAAGTCGTGTTATTACATGTCCAGGTATGTTAAAGATGGATTTAGGCTCTGAAAGTGCCAGCCACACTGCTGGGTGCCTATGAAGTCCCCAGTACGTGGGTCTGCAATAAAGGAGTGAAAAACTAGCCCCCTTTCCTTCACATCCTCAATAAAAAAAAGAGGGCCTCAGTGGGGATAGGAAAGTCAAGTCTGAAAGGAAAACAAATTTGGCTGAAATCTTTGTCATGTGTTTCCAACCATTCTTCAGATTTCTGTAATTTCATTACTCAGTCTCTTTGTCTTGTATTTATATTCTTCATCTTTACCTGTCCAGAGCACAGTAAGTGGCAAAATATCTTCTTAACTTAGGATTTCACTTATGGATAGTTGAACAAAAATATATGGTAGATTGCGTTTCCTGTAAAAGGTAGAAAGCTGAAGAACTAGAGATGAGTCTCTTGAATGTTTGCAATAGTCACCGCGTACACTGAAATTTCAGTCAGAATTTCAGGAAGAGGAGACACACCGCATTTGCTCTGGCAAAAGTTGTAGAGCATTTTGAAAGGTTAAAGAAAATTTACCACTCCCCTGATTTCACAGCACTGCTCTGATACTAAACTGAGTTAATGAAATGCAAAGCAGACATGCTTCGGATGATTCCTAAGCATTGTTCTATTGAGGTACCTCACCTTCCAACATGTAGCCTACTACAACAATCCCCTGCCCCTCAAGTGTCCCCAAAACTTCAGGACTGGACTTTGTGGACACAAGGGATACATTTTAGTCACGCTCAACGGCATGCAAAAAATCGACAAGCTTGTTTTACCTCTAACAATCCCAGCTTTGATTTTTATGTAATTCATTTCTCACACTTAGTGAGCGTGAAGCTCAGTATTTACCTGCTCTGTTGCAGAAGTTTCAAAAGAAACAGCAAGTTCAATCCACGTGCAAACTCTAACACTCCATATGAAGTTGTCTACAGATGCACTTGGTATCAAGGACCTCCAGCTTGCTCACAATAAGGTGTAAGAATACTTACCAAAAAAAAGATAGACATACCTCAACGCTATTTAGCTGATGATGGTAATTAACACAATCACAGGGTTTTCTGTTTGATGTTTTGGCAACGAGGGGGGTGGCATCAGGAGGAGGGCTATAAATATTTCCTGATTCATTCCTTAAAGAAATCCTCTCCCTGACTCCCCTCCCCCCCAACAAAAAGACTCCAGTATGCCTTAATTTATACACCTTTCTAGTGGACGACAGCCTGCATGGAGAATGCAGCTGAAACAGCATGTGGTAAATCTATTTATTCCTTAGCTCTCTCTAGCAATCCCGACAGAAAAGCTTACATTATATTAGTGTCACATACCAGCAGTTAGTTTAAATAAAACATATGCATTTATGTTTTTCATTGATCTTGTCACTTCAAAGGCAGCTTTCCTTCATTTCTTTAAGAAAACAGCAGGAGAGGGAAAACCCACCATCAAACCTGCCTGGGAATGTGCATTAATGAGACCCTCTATTTAAAGATTCTTGTTGCTTCAAGCCCAGCTGAAAACAGCTGTTCTGCTGCTCTTGTTTCTCTTCCCAATGGACAACGAAAAATGATTTCATGAAATATTTGGTGTTGCTATTTTTGAAGCTTTGTAGCAGCGCCCTGCAATATGAAAGCAGTACTGTTTTGATGAAAACATGCTGTCTGGTACCACAAAAACCTGTTTCGTAACAGTCTGAACATCTGATTAATGCTTACAAGGTCACAGATAGTGTTATCTTGAAAACATTAATTTCAAATGAGTAGGTGTTGTTCGTAAGCATCACACACCTTGGCAGATCCAAATAGAGCAGATTTTACCTGTTTGGTTCTGTCCTATCTCAACATGGATTGCGAAGAAAGCAGTTTTGACAAGCTAAACCTTAAACACGGAAGCTGCTAACAAGTGTCATGCTAGAAATTGCAAGGAATGTTTCTTTGCAGGCTAAAATGGGATTAAAAAAATAATGCTATCACTTCTGTTGCAGGAGATACATACATTTAGAATACTGGTCAAAGACTTTTCTGCTACCTGACCTAACACTCACTTCATAAAAAAACAAACAAACAAACAACAAAAATCACAGAATATCCCAAGTTGAAAGGGACCCACATGTTCCAGTCCAACTTCTGGGTCCCCAAAAGAACCACGCAAAAAAAGACCACGTGTCTGGCTGGCACTGTCCAAATGTAAGCCGCCTTTAGACACAGAGTTAGCCCTGTAAGTCCCCATTTTATACACAGACATTGGCTGCTGTATGTAACACAGGAGATGAGGCTGACGCCCACAGCAACCTGCAGCTGATTCCATATCCTGTACAAGTCACCACTGAACAAATCAACACCATTTACACATATCAGTTTAATTTGTTAATGATTACCATTTAACTAAGGGTGTTCAAATTACAACATACACATTTTCATAACAAAAACATTTGCTAAAAACTAGGCATGGTGATGACGTTGTTCCAGTTCCTAGTTAAATGTGAAGAAACCCCAAACCAAGCGTTTCTGTAAACTGTAGTTAATGCTACATTTAGAATAAAAGTTTGACCTCCGGTGTTGAAACAATCCTTTTCATAAACACAAAGTCCTAACCAATATTTACCATTTGATGCCTTCTGTAATTCTGCTCTCAAATGTTCAACTTCCTTCTTCAATTTTTCATTAATTACTTTTGCTGATTCTTTATTTCCACTGCTTCCTCGTTCATTCAAGGCCTATTAAAAACCATAGATGCTACAATTACTTCTGGTTAAATTAGTTGAATATTAATGCCAAACTACCAGAGAATATCAGCCTTGAGTTTGTAAAGTGACAAGTTTTATCAAATGCCAATACAACACAGACATATACTCAGTCTTTCCAGGGATAAAAATTAAAATAATAATAACAAATTGCTCAATTTTGTAAGTTGATATCAAGTCTTGTTGCATATGTATGTGTATAGGTGGCATTACCTTCCATGTAACAGGACCTGCTGTCTCTGGATCAAGCCCACAACTTCTGTTTAGGTTATAAAAGGCTTTTCAAAAAGACATATACTAGGACTTCGTGTGGTGTTTATATGCAACTTTTTCTAATAAGTTATCCTGACTTAGATGTCACCAATCCCTCCTTTTAGGTTCATAGCTACCTCTTTAATCTTCAGAATACCTCAATACTCAGAATAGGTTTCCACTGAAACTCAAGTCAAAACAAAGGAAGGATTCAAGAGTAGCCCTGTAAGCACTGGACACAAGAGCAGTACACTCCCTGTACCCTGAAAACGTTGGCACTGCTATACTTATACATGCTCTTATCATTAGGTCATCAGTAGCAACTGTCTTAAGGTATCAAACGTTAAGGATTAGACCCCATAATTAGACCCTTTCCTCACAGAGCTTCTAGTAGCCATCCAAGCAGAGTTTCTGTTGTGACAAAGGCAAAAATAGTGCTAGATGCTTCAGGGGAAAAGGAAAAGAACTGAGATGAACAACTGGTAGGTGAACTCATGGCATCAGAGCTTACTGGGAATGAGGAGGAACAGAGGGAGAGAACAGATTACTTCAGGAAGAAAAAGAACAGTTTATAAAAACTGTTAAACAATCCAAGGAAGGGAGCTGAAGAAAAGTTTCAGGATGCATTGTAACCATAGAGCAGAGGTTCTGTTTCACTCCTGGTAACAAAACCATAGCCAATTTGTTATGGAATAAAGCTAGAGAGGCCTCACATTGCCTTCATTACCTTCTCAGCTCTTTCCATTAATACAGTTATTTCTATAAAATTTTCTCTTACGTCCAGTGCTCCATGGAACCTTTGAACAGGAGGCAGTGCAAAACACTGGAGTAAACTTACAGGATTTATACTTACAGCCAGAGTGCCCTGCATGCTATTGCTTTTCCCTCTCTCTGACAGGGGAATGAATCACATTTGTATTATGAACACAAATGCAGGGGGCCAAGCCTCAGAGGAGCCTAAGCCATGGTATCTCTTTGAGGTTATAAAAAAAAGATTCTGAACATTTTGCATTTTCAGCACAGGGGAGACCTAGCTACAGCATGCTGATTGTAACCGTGGTTACCACTGCTTTTGCAAATCATAAAATCAAAAATACAAATAGAAACAGACAGGAATGCAGCTTCCAGTTGCTGGCTATCACTTACAAGCAGCTAAGAGAATGTGTTGCTTGGGAAACACACGCTTAAGGGTGAATGCAGAACAAAAAGAGGACTTTTGGCCACATCCCAGCAGGACGGAGAAGAAAAAGTGTAGCAGGATGCAGCAAAGAGACAAGTTCTAAGGCTAAGGGTGGGAGTCTGGATTATTTTGTCAAAATACCAGACTCCCAAGATTTTGTGATCATTTCATAATTGGGAAATAGGTTACACACACCTTAGTGATCGTCATTTCATGATACCTTTCAAATACCTGTGTGATTTTTTTTAAATCCCCTCCAGTACTTTGTCTGGAAACGTATTACAAAAAACAAAAAACAACAACAAAAAAAAAACTGGTGCTGGTGGTAACCACAGACTCCAGACAGACTGGAAGGAAACCTTCACACACCTGCAGTGAATTTTATTTTGACTGGATACTTGCAGTTTGGCTTCTGGTTCATTCTCTTCCAACAGAAGTCAAAGTAACCACCAGCAAGAAAAGATTTCATACATCTAGACCTTTGTTATTTCCCTTCCTGCATAAAGCTATAACCACAACAGACAAATAATAGCTTAATTTTATCCACTCCTCTCCAAAAATAACATGGTTTTGGTTCACTGGTGGTGGTTCTTTTAGGTAAGAAATGTTTGGTACTACCCTCATTAATATCACAGCAGTGCCTTACTGAGAAAGGAAGGTACTAGGGAGTAGGCTGATCCACTATAAAAATACATACAAGAGTACAAAATACAATAAATACAAAGGATCAATTTTACAAGTTAGAAAATACATCTCAGGACCAGAGCAAGTCCTGCTTAGAAGAGAAGAGAGAGACAGCATTAGCACAGCTGTATCGTAGGCTTCTCTGTACTGGGTTGCTATAGCCCTGACCCAAACAGCCAGCTGTTTAAGGTAAGAAGAATAAAATTAGTGTCTCCCTCTACTTTACTGAGAGTGAATTCAAAGAGATATTTTAAGAATTTATTAATATTTGACAAGATTTATCCCAGAAAGAACTTCCTCCATTTACTTGTACCACTTCAGTTTCCTTTGTTAGTAAAATGCTCCTGAAATTTGTATTCGGTATTCTGAATTACGTATGGTGAGAAAATTATTCTTCCTTTTTCCATCAGGAATAAAAAAAGAACAAAAATTCAGTAGCCAACTATGTCCGGATTGTTTTGTACTATCTACTTTCTGCATAAGAAAAATAAAAACAGGAAGATACCTCCTGCAGCCTTTCATTCTCAGCCAGGTATTTTTTGGCTGCTTCAGTAGTGTCGTTGACTTGCGTTTCCAGAGCTGCGTGAGATGCCATGCTTTTTGCCAACTGAGTAAGAAGGGTAATAGTACGTCTCAATACACTGGTGAGGAAACACAGTGAACAGCACAGTAATTCACAGCACAAATTAAAAAAACACAAAACAACAAAAACCACACAACACACAAAACCAACCCCTTTTGTCTGTTTTTCAACATTAGATATGAAAACGAAAACGCAAAGCACCTGAAGGGAAACATCCAGGCTCCATGATGACAGGTAACAGCAGAGTAAGAGACTGAAAACATATTTTCATCCATCAAAAATCCATTTTTTACTTGAAAAGGGAACCCACTCCTCCTCCCCAAATCCACAGCCATTAGGGGGTCAGACACCTCTTTGTGTAAAGGCTGAAATAATCTTACATGACTTTGTGTTTTAAATATGATGGCTCTCTGAATATAACACACAAGTAATACGTTATGGTAATGAGCATGATTAAAAATAACAGCAAGAAATACCCCTCCCCTTATAAAAGGCCTTAGCAGAATAAAATTAGCAATATTTTATTAACCCTCCTATTAACTCAAAGTACTCTGTCAGTACCGTATAAATCAGAACATGCACGAATATCAGCACTCATCTGATGTCTCAAAGCTAAGCTCTGCAAATACCTTCCTTGACTTGACCCAGCGATTGCTTCTTTGCATCTCTACTTCCATTATCGATTCATCTTGGAGTCTTTCAAAATGGTACGTTACTGAATCAAGGGAAGGCCAAAGCAACACTGAATTGAATTCACCCCTAACTATACAGCTGCTCTTCAAAAAAAAAAATAAATCCACTTTGTTTTTTCATAACTGAAAGCATATTAACAGACCTTGTAGCTCCCGAGGTGAGCCTTCCACCTGCTTTTTCACTGAAAGCTCATCTTCTGTTTTTAATAAAAATGTTAACTCTTTGTCACTCTTTATCCAGGATACATCAGCCAGAAGTCAGTAAAACATCATTATTAAAATAGAATCACAGTACTGTGTAGGTTGGAAATGACTTCAAGAGGTCATCCTGTCCGAGATCCAGCTGAAAGCAGAGCAGGCAGAGCAGACTGCTTAGGGCCTTGTTCGGCTGAGTGCCCCCCCATCTCCAGCGCCATTCCTCAGACTTTTAGGGTCCTTCTTCTAGTGCACAGCCACTCTTGCTAGTAGAAAAATAGTTTTAATCACAAGTTCCAGGTTTTGGTTTGTGCATGTTGACTCCTGATATTCCACTGTGGATCCACTAAGGAAAGTTCGCTCCGTCTTCTTGACTCCTCCCAACTGAACAGCTGCAGAAAGCAGTCGTCTTCCCCTCAACTTCACTTCTTAGGCTGAAGCTGAGCACCTTCGGTACCAGCTCGTATGTCACATGTCTCAGTGCCCAACATTCTTGGTGCCTCTCTGCACTACTGCAGTATGCCAATGTCTGTTAAACAATGGGGAGCAAAAACCCTACAGGATTCCTGCAGCTGCAGTCCCAGAAGCACCAGATGGGGAAATAATCATTTCTCTTGGCCTGCTGGCTAAACCCCTGCTATTACAAGCCCAATAAACGATTGACTGTCCACGAGGACTCCCAGATTCTTTTCTGTGAGGCTGCTTTTACCCTACTAGTTAGTCTCCAGCCTGTATGGGCACTCTATGGGGTCATTCTGTCAGATGCAGGACTTGCCATCTGCTTTTGCTGAACTTCACGAGGTTTCTGCCCCCACATTTCTCCCACCTGTCTAGCTCCCTCTGAACAGCAGCCCTGCTCTCCAAGACATTAGCCACTCTGATTTGGACTTCCCCAGTCTGCACGCTTGCTAAGAGCACACTAACTCATCATTCAAGTTGTTAATGAGGTCATTAAACAGTATTGGGTCCAGTACAAATCCCAGAGGGATACCAGCTGGAATGTACATTACTAATCACCACCCTTTAAGCCCGGAGACCCAGTCAATTTTCCACCCACTTTTTTTTCCCACTTCCCCAGGCCATCTCTCCCCAGTTAGGCTATCAAGATACCAGAAGAGACCATAACAGGCCTTGCTAAAGGCACACAGCATCCACTGCTCTGCCCTTTACCCACAAAGCCAGCCATTTCATCAAAGGACCAGGCATGATGTCTGCTCAGTAAAAGTGATGGTTTTTCCTAGTCACCATTATCCTTTATGACCCTGGAAATGGCCTTAAGGCAGATTTGCTCCACAACCTTTCCAAGGTCTGAAGTGAGGTGAGATCAGTCTGTAGTAACCCAAATCCTTCTTTTTCTCCCCAGCTCTACCTGCTGCTGCTGTGGGTAACATCACTCTCCTAGAACTGGGAGGCCAGAGAGCAGACCTCATCAGCAAGAAGCAAGGCAATGTGGGGTTGGTAATGAGACACCCTCGCACCCTCCTTGCTGGCAGGGCAGCACAAGAAGCAGAGAAGTCCTTGACTTAGTGCAAGGACTTCTCTGCAACAACTAAAACATTGATGTGTTATCAACATTATTTTTCTCCCAAATCCAAAACACAGCACCGTAACAGCTACTATGACAAAAGTTAACTCTGTCTCAGGCAAACACAGGACACTGCAACTGTGCACAAGCTCCTAAAGCCTCTTTTGTTTCCCATGCTGTACACATTTGTGTTCAAACACCAAAGATTGGCCTCCAGTTGTTCTCTTTTCACAAGGGATGTATGAGAGCCTTCCCCATTGTGTCGTCTTTCTGATGCTTCCCAGCTTTTCCCCAAGCCTTCACTTCTTGAGAGCATCTTGCTCCCGACATACCTTTTTTAAAGCTATTTTCAGCTTCATACTCTTGCCCTGCTTCATCAGAGACCCTCTTCATTTAAGGTCCCACGATGACAGAAGCCCATACACTAAAAATCACCCACACACTGACCTGATGGATGCATCCACTCCACTCAAGCCTTTTTCCCCCTCACTAAAACTGAAACGAACTCCACCAGTGTCCTCCTGTCCTTTCCCCGTGCTCCCAGAGCTTTGTAGTCACTTTTCACACCCCAAGATGCCCAAGTGGATGAGCAGCACTGGTTAACAGGGGGCCAAGCAGACCTTGGAGTGGAGACTTGATGTCTCCACTGCTGAGACATCAAGTCAGGTTTGCAGATGGGCATCTCTGTCCCACCTGGAGGACAGTCCTGGGTAGCTATGACCCTTTCCTCTTCTCTGTGCAGACACTTGACAGATGGAGACTCTGCTGGCCCCATTACCTCCCCTGACTGGAGGTCATTTTCCTTATCTGTTCCCAGTGGTCTGTAATTGCTGAACCACAGATGGAGGAGGAGTTGCTGTTGTGTTACTAGAAACAACAAAACTTCCAGCCTCCCCCATCTTGGGAATTTCCACCTACCCCGCTTTTGGATTTCTCCACTTAGCCACTGCACTAAAATGAACCAAAAGCGACCCAATGAATGAACCAGGAACATCCGAGTACCTCTTCACAGGTACAAGTGGCCTGAACTTGGCTGGGTGGCAGTAGTAGGATATGACAAGGGAGCCCAAGGAATACTTTCCTCCCTCCCTCCCGACAAAAATCATGCATTTTTAATAGATAAACAAAATAACTCTAAGTTGTTTGCTCTAGCCATTGTTGCAGGAGTATTTACTTCTCCTCAATCTATGTGAAAGGCCAGTAGCCCCCAAAAGACCTTTGGCAAACCTCTTCATGTGCACAAGTTTTCTCCATCATTATATCTATTATGGCCACCTACAAGTTTTCTTCCTTGATAGTTAAGTGGGAGTACGGTCCTGGGGGACCAGCTTCTAACTCTGGTCCAGGACACAATCCAACTATTCCTCCCTTGGAGCAGAGATCAAACACACATTTGTGCATATTTACTTAACCTTTCTGCAGGAAGATGAAGAACACGATACATTCCTATCACTTCTGCACAAGGCTACAGATGATTTTTTTTCTCCTTTTTTCTTACTCAAGGTTTGTATGAATTTTTCCTTCCTTGAAGCTTCTTTATGTACAGTGCCCCTCCTTATAATGACTAACTAAGACAGCCATACATTAGTCCAAGGGAAACACGGTCAATCACAAGTCTCTGTAATTCCAGGCATTTTCTTATTCTGTGTTCCTCTTGCATATCCAGAGAATGTCAAGCAACTCAAAGAACTACAGAAGAGAGTCAGCATCACCATCAAATGTAGGAAATCTTCTGACCACCATTCCTGTTCCTATTCATTCACGTTATCTGTCCAGTTAGCTCATGTGCTCCTTGTCCAGCTGTGAAGATTTGCAGGTTGCCATGGCTACTGGGAAGATTTGCAGGTAGTCTCGGCTGCTACTGAGCAGTTCAAACTTGTCCTTTCTGTTACCCTGTGTTACTGGCTGTATTCAAACATCTTGAAAGGGATACCACGCTTCAGGTCACAATATCACAGCAGGCCAGCTGCCACTAAGTGCTCAGTCTGAAATAATATCTGAAATTTCCCTTGGACTCTGGATCTTTGCTAACTTTAAGCTTTAGATGAAACGGTTAAAGTCAGGCTCAAGTTTTGCTTCTTAACACAGCAGGATGTAATAAAATAATCTTAATATGTTGCAAGCTGGCATTAACAGTGCTTTAGCTTTTGACCTTTTTAATTTGTTTTCCTTGTTCAAAAACAAAACAGGACATATATGTAACAAAAAAAATAGTACTCCCTGAAGAAGCTTTTCCTGCAAAAGATGTTTTCTCAAACATTCCAAACATGTTGCTTTCCATGTGTTGCTCACATATCCTTCCAATATTCAAACATTTGTAAGTGATTAATTCCCGTGATCTTATTTACCTCATGGCCAATCTGCTTGCATTTAGTTTTTTTAATCTCTTGAAATCAGCCTTCTGATCTTTTTTTCTAGTTGCATTACTTTGTGCCATAGCTCCCGTAAGAAATCTGCTATGTAGAAATTCAAAAAGCGTTATACTTACAGCCACAGAAATAAGGAAAAACCTGAGATATAGAGGTTTCTTTGTGATCGGAAGAGTTTCATATGAATATGATCAATGGCATTGGTATTGACATTTGCAACCTTCTCAGTCACCTGAATGGCCGAGTACTTCCTAACTTCTCTAAAAGCATCTGTAAACAAAAAAAAGATTGTCCTTAATCACATCTGTGAGTATGCACACATGATAAACCAGGCATAGAACTAGAAATAGGTATTTGCACTTTTTGCTCAGCATACAGGCAGAGTACAAACAGTAACATCAGCAACGTTAGTGACATGGTTAGTGACTTGGCAGTGCTAGGTTAACGGCTGGACTAGATGATCTTAGAGTTTTTTGCCAACCTAAATGATTCTATGTTACCTATCCATTTTAAAGACAGGTCTTGATAAATCACCGAAGCAAAAACACATATCCAGAAACATGCCAAACTACTACCCAAAACATGCTTGAACAGTTATTTCCAACATTTGCACTCATCCACCAGGAACCTGGCCAAAGCGACACATTCTGCAAATGCTACCAGAGACCCAACAGTGTCAACAAGTCACTGCTGACAATGTGAATTAAAACCCAGCCAGTGGACAAACAGTAAGAAAATGGAAAGAGAAGGAAAAAAGAAGAGATGCCTTCTGAAGCATTTACCTCACATGGAATTTGTTAGATGAGCACATGTTTTAGTAACAACAGTAGCAGTATCTACTTTTATGCTTAAACCACATCAGAAAAAAATATTTCTATAACATCTGTCAATATAGAAAGACTACAGTAACACAGATTTGAAGTGAAACTTTGAACAATGCAGTGAAGGCTAAGACCAAACAAAATACCATATCCCCATGCTGTGTGAAGAATCTAGTCCTGCAGTGATCTATTATCCCATTGCTGCTCTACTTTGTCTCAAATCTCTCTCTCCTCTAATATAAACGACCATCACTAAAGCAAGCTTTGGTTAAAGTTTCCAATTGGAGTTCAAAGAGAGTAAACGATATCCACCAGTTTTCAATCTTAAGCCATTTACTGAAGTATCTACTTCTAGGGATACTAAAGATCTTCTAATAGATATAAAAAGTTTATTTGCATTTCCACTACTTTGTTCATTATTAGGAATACAGAATTGCAATTTAGCCTGACTTCATTATATATGCAGTACATTTGTATGCTTCTCTCAGCAGCAGCTTGGAATTAAACAGCATTTTCATTGTAAGGCACTGAAAACAATCCCCTACTATCCACGTGGGAGAACTATTTCCACCTCTGAAATAACGGAGATACCACAGAAACCAATCAGGGCAGACACTAAGTGGATTCAGGCAGACAGTCATCAGTCAAGCTCCAGTTTCACTTAGGCTTTACTCCTCCTTTACAGACCTCAGGCTTTAACAAGCGTAGCCGACAGCTGTTTAGTATCTGTGCTGAGTAGCAGTACCCAAATAGCCCAGGGCTTTGACATATTCTGGTGCATTATTTCAACAGCAGCTGAGAGAAAGAGTGCCATCTACTGCAGGTTGAGCAGCTCTGCCACGTACAGGAATCAAACCTTCTGTGTAAGAAAACGAAACCAAGCAGCAGCCGAGGCCAAACTCCACTCTTCCTCTTCATTCACTCCTATACTACTACTGTATTTGGATTCCCAACACCAAACCCATATGTGCCCTCTCTTCTTCTATTCTGTTAAAGAACTTTTAAAGAAATACACTAGGCTTGAATCTGTGCAAATTATCTACTGCCATGAATTCCACATACCAGCTTATTTTTTCCGTTTATTAGATAAAGTTATTTAACACTTACCAAGAAACAAGATGATCAGTAGAACTATTATTGTAAGGAACATCTTGTTCCAAAAAACAGCTATTTTGCTCCATAGAGGAATCATAAAAATCTTCTGCCATCTGTAAAATAGCATTGTGTTATTCAAAATAATTAAATACTAGAAGAAAAGCATAATAACCTCACAGAAGAAAGCCTTGTTATTGATATGAGACTTAAGTAAGGTCTCTAACCAGCTGTTTTAACTGCAATATAATTTAGATTAGGTATATATAACTTTCAACAATTCAACTTGCTAGCTTTTTTTTCTCCTCTCATTCTCAATACAGGCAAAGACAGTTGGTTTAACACAAACATTTCTCACATGGTAGCAGGTACTCTCCAGGTGTGCTTTATTTTATAATTACTTTGTGTTTGTTCCTGACCATGATAAATTCTGGGATGGGGTGAAGACTATCTGTCATTTTTCTACCCAACTATACCCCTTGTTGCCAAGTTAAAAGCAAAAACCAAACCGAAACACCCACGAAACCAACCCTCCATGAATTAAAATCATCTCTACTATCTTTCTTCTGAAGGGTCATCTTTTACATTGATGAGTCTGCATAATTATACAGTAGGATTTACTACATTCTAACATACAATTGACAATAAAAGGAGAAGTCTCATGTTTATATTTTATCAAGAACCTCTTTCAATTTGCATTCAGCATCAATTTGCTGGCTAATGAAACAGCTTCAGACAGGAAGAGCTGCAAAAGCGGTAAAGACCACTTACTTTTCTTTTAAACAACCATCCCTTTAATATTACTACATGGAGAGATCTGCAAGAATTCACACTTACAGCACAAATGAAGAACATCTGAGATGCTCAAATAAATTTAAACCCAGAAGAGACGACAACAGACCAGACAGTTTTCTTTGCTGCAGGTTAGAATCAGTGCTACTGCATAAATAAATACCTACTTATGCTATAAAGGACGTAATGCAGGCACACTAGTGTCTTGGTTTCAGTTAGAACAGAATTAATTTTCTTCCTAGTAGCTGGTGGAATGCTGTGTTTTGGCTTCGGATGAGAAGAGTGCTGATAACACCCTGATGCTTTAATTGTTGCAGAGCAGTGCTTATACCAAGCCAAGGACATCTCAGCCTTTTGCTCTGTCCTGCCAACAGGCAGGCTGGGGGTGCAGTAAGAGCTGGGAGGGGACAGACCCAGGACAGGTGACCCAAACTAGCCAAAGGGGTATTCCATACCATCTAACGTCATGCTAAACAATATATAGGGGTGGCTAGCTGGGGGGAGGGGGGCCGGACTGCTCAGGGTGAGGCTGGGCATCGGTCAGCGGGTGGTGAGCAATTGCATTGTGCATCACTTGTTTGTACATACTATTATTACTTACCTATTATCATCATTGTATTATTATTATTATTGTTATTATTATTTTCCTGTCTTATTAAACTGTCTTTATCTCAACTCACGAGCTTCACTTTCCATTTCTCTCTCCCGTCCCAGAGAGGGAGGGGGGAGGGTGAGCGAACGGCTGTGTGGTGTTTAGCTGCCGGCAGGGTTAAACCACGACAACTAGTCAGCATTTAATTAACCAGGTAACGTTTCCAAATTTTGTTCGGACCATTTACATTTTGCAGAGACCATTAGAATTTGTCCTCTAAGTAGTTTCCAATCTACTATGAACTTAACTTAGACAGTAGCATCACCTCCAACAATGTTCTGCACCAGAAAGAAGTAAGAGTTATTATTTTAGCATTATATGCGCAATAATTCCATTTAAATCTTTTAGTATAATCTGAGTTCTTTAAAGCAGACAGCCATAGTCTGTATCAACCAAAAAGTTACTGTCCTTAATTAAACCAAGTTGCAGCCCAAATGAAACATACTTGTTAACTCTAAATATGTGATTCTTCATGTCTTATACCAATCTCCAGTTAAGAAGTGATACTCTGATGTAAACACCTTAGACCAACTATATTGCTAAGTTATATTAAGGCTAAAAATTCTCTCTCTTTACTGCAAAGTATCCATAGATTATATTCTCATGCTTATTTTTCCCTCTACAAGTAACATTAACATTTATTAATGCTCTATTGACTTTTGGTGACAGAAGTCACATATAATACTTCCAAATTACAATACTGGCCACCACTAGAGATGTTGCAATCACCTGGCAGTCCAATTCTGTCTTTTTGGGTACTTGCATTTTTATATTGTCAATCTACTTGTTCCCCAGGAACTTTATTATTATTATTAAAATTTTATTATTAAAATATTAATAATAATAATAATATTTTAACAATTTGAAGAGGAGTTCGTTACCCAAAAAACCGCACAGGAACAAGAGATGCAAACAACCTGTTTCTAGACTGATGAGGAAACCGAAACTTCGAAGAACAGCAGTGTCACGTTTCCCCAGCTGCACATGCTTTGCCCTGTGACAGAACCAGCCCCCAGGTTGCCAAGATGTGTAAAGCAGAACTGCTGCCCTCCCACACTCTCACAACAGCTACACCTAATATTCAACCCTACAAGATTCCTGTGGCAGTTTTGCTAACAAGATAATTGACCACATCAGAGGATAAAACTATTTAATTATTTCAGAAACTATTGTTTGAGAGAATAACCGAATGCCACAAATCAAACATAAAATTAATCCATTGTATGTTATTAAAAGCACTGTTTTTGAAGTTTGAACAATTTTTGGTAGCTGAATTTGCTTTTCAGCTTCAAAGACTCAGTTCAGGTCCTATTTAAGTCATGAGACCTGTTTCAGCACTCTCAATGTGTCATCAGCCTGAAGAAACTCTTGCAGCTAGTTGCCTCACATAAGCCAGTATTATTATTAATCTGATTACAACTCCCACAATGCTTTTCCCCTCTTACATACAGCTGCACTTCTGATTAGAATACAGAAGAAAACATCAACAATCAAAGAAGAAACCCAACAATCTACGTTGAAACGCTGAACTCCTCTCAAGCTGTGATATTGGTTGCAGAGTATTCAACCATTTTCAAAGCCCTCCCACAGGTTTAAGTTGTCAAATTCTAACTCTGCACACTGCAATTTTGTATTAGGTTTTGTTCCTTAACATATTACAGTAAAAACTTCATTCTCCATTCTGAATATATCTAAAGATGCAGAAAAAACATTTATCAGTTTTATACAACACTGAGCCAGCAGCAAATTTTCTGATTTTTTTTTTTTAGTTACTAATATTCTGCAAAGAAATCACAACTGTTTCTATAGCATCGTGTAATACATGTAATACAACTAGCTGTATTTCTTCAGAATAAATAAAAAGAGCATTACCAAATTGGAAAAGCTACTTAGAAAAGACAATCTTAAGACAACCCTACAAGCCAGGCCTCTGCATATAATGGGAGTAGTTAAAACATTCTGCTTTACTTCTTTCCCTTACTAAGGGCATTTATAAGAATGAATGATTTTTCTGAGTGTTTATATGGTGTTCCAGAAGCGTTATTATTTTGTTCTGCTTATATACTTTTATGGAGGCTTTTCTTACAGCAGTCCTGAACCTTCTGCATCAAGCTGAAGCCTGCGTTTATTTTTCAACAAACGACCACAAATTTCTTACAAGCCTTACACGTCACATACGGTTAGCTTAAATATCAGATATGCCTTATCAGATGTGAACCCACGATGCCTAGTGCACGCCAAAACGCCGGAGACCTGATAAACAGCTCTTGAAAAGGCCGCTGTGTCGTCTCATTTCCTAGTTCACAGCGAGGGGAGGCAGAAAACTTCCTTCCTGCACACTGCCTGCTCCAAAATCAACACGGAGACTTCCCCCTGACGGAAGGGAAGTGCTCAGAAGAATTATCAGTGGGTAAAATAACACATTAAGCTCCTTCAGAAAGGTTTTGGTTTCCTGAAACTGCTGGCACTCGCGGCGCTTCCAGCTCAGAGCCCAACTACTTCGCGCCGCAGCAAAGCTGAACGTTTACCGAGAGGAAAAACGCAGAAAGCGGGTGAGAAGCATGCAGCAAACTCCTACCTCAGGGGAGAGATAAAGGGCAGGCAGAGCACGAGGAGCACCACCACCTCGCCGTACAGGAAGGTGGCAACCGCCGTCCACTGGAAAGTCATCGTCCCCCGGCGGCCTGCGGGGCTGAGTGCGGCTCAGGCGGGTCCCCGCGCTGTCGAGAGCTGGTTTGAGTTTCAGAAAAGAAAAAAAAAACAAACATTTTTAGGACAACTTAGCGGGGCTGTCCCCGCCGTGCTGAGCGCTCGGCCTCGCTCGGCCTCCCCCATCGCCGCCTCAGCGCCCGGCCGGGCAGGGCCGGGCAGGGCCGGGGGCGGCCCCCGTGAAGCCCTCGCAGCCCCGCAGCCCCCCCGGCTCCCTCCTGCCTCCCCCCATAGCCCGGCAGCCCCGAGCCCGGCCCGCCCCGCTCTCCCCCGCGGCCTCCCGGCCTTCGCAACCTGCCGGGTTCCGCGGCCCGATGGCGGCCAGCCGCTCTGGGAAGGGCGGGGAGCGGAACCTCAGCACCGGGAGCGGGGCTGGGGGCAGGCGGCGGGGCCGCTGCTCGCCGCCGGCGCTGAGGGGAGGCGGAGCGGGCGCGGCCGCCGGGCTTTGGGGCGGCTCCGGGCTGACTGACACGGCGGGGAGCCGGGGGCGGTGCCCGGCTGGGAGCCTGCCGAGGGTGGCTCAAGGGCCTCAGGCTCGGTTTGGGACAGGACGGGGCAGGAGGGTCCCCGCAGGGGCCGCCCCGGTGAGGGCTGGGGCCCACCCGTGGTCTCTGGAGGCATCGCAGGTGCCCGCGGTGGTGCTCCGGGTTTCGGCTCTGGACGGGGAACCAGGACTGCGGGCTCCTGTGGGGCGGCTGGAAATTCCAGTCCCTGCTGTCAGGCCTTGAAAACACTCAGGGACCACTCCTCTGGTGGAAAGCACAAGGACCTACACGCTAATATTGGTTAAAATCAGCACCTTTTTTTACATTTAGGCAACGGCTAGAAGCATTTTACTGCAGAAACCTGCTGTGATCATCCTACCCCTTCATGACTCGAGCTTACTCGATCAAGGCCTTTGGCTCTGTGACTCCACTCTCCAATGTGCTCCTTAGTTTCTGAAGTTCAAGTGAAACGCTGCCTCCCCTCCTCCCCCCGGAAACATTGCACTGCCCTAGTGTGTGCAGATCCCATAAAGCTGTGCTCACAAAGTGCTGCCATTATTCACAAAGCCACCACAATATCAATCAAACGAGGCCTCAGGCACTGTCAAACAGGTCTGTTGGGACCTCACAATAAAACTACATTCCTCCCCAAAATCCTCTTTTGTCCCCTGTTGGGTGTGGTGCCTTTCACCAGCATAGTGAGGCTCCAAGCATGTTATCTTCATGTATTGTTATCCATTTTCCCGTTTCTCAATCACCCTTGCAACTCCCCTTCACTGCCCCTGAGTAACCCTCCCCTCATCACTTTCCCCATAGTTCCCAGTCTTGCTCCATCTGCACCCACATTCAGCATTTGATCCCATTACTTGGGTAATGTAGGCCTCATGTGGTATTACTGAGGTACTGATACAGTTATCAGGCACTGTTAGCCCTGCAAGTTCCTAGCCCTGAAGGGACCGCCAAAAGTTCAGTTATTTGTATAGTTTGGCTGTTTTTCACATAACTCCTGCTTAACCACAGAGCCCAGACAGCAGGGTGTTGATTTGCCTGTGATCCAGACAGCCCCTGGGATGCTCATCAAAGAGCTTACCTGGCCTAGCTGAGCATGATCAACCTTCTCCACACAACTGCCCGAGGGGCCTAGGGGAATTCTGTCCCAATTAATTTCCATCAAAATGACTGCTTCATTCAGTTCTGGGGTCCCTGACGTAGGAAGGACATGGACTTGTTGGATTGAGTCCAGGTGAGGGCCACAAGGATGATAAAGGGGCTGGAGCCCTTCTCCTATGATGGGAGATTTAGATTAGATATTAGGAAGAAATTCTTTACTGTGAGGGTGGTGAGGCCCTGGCACAGGCTGCCCGGAGAAGCTGTGGGTGCCCCATCCCTGGAGGTGCCCAAGGCCAGGCTGGATGGGGCTTTGGGCAACCTGGGCTGGTGGGAAGTGTCCCTGCCCATGGCAAGGGGTTGGAATTAAATGATCTTTAAGGGTCCCTTCCAACCCAAACTATTCTGTGATTCTATGACGTATGTCAAATAGTGTGAGTATTAGCTCTTTGTTTCTCTAATCTATTGTAAGTGAAATAGGTCAGGAAGTGTTTGTATATACAGTTCCTAGCAGTTGTTTACAGCTGTTCTCAATGTGAAATCACTTCCATTTAAATTTTCCCAGGTCTGTGGCTTGGGGATTGTGTCAGCGTGTTAATGTTTTCCTAGTTGCTGCCAAGTAATGTCTGGATGAAAGGTTATATCCCAAATAATTGCTTATCCATAGCAAATATCGGACAGTAATAAAACCAGCCATTTCAATCCAATCTACACTACGGAAACAGCCTGCATTTTAAGAAGTATTTCTAACATGTTTTCATAAACATGTAATCAGAAGCACTGACAAAACGTAACCTCTTAATATGTCCTGGTTATTACATTTTAGCTATTGGCCTACAGCCATTATGCTTTATTGAAGCTGTTAAAATGTTATTAAAGACTTTCTCTCCTTTAATTCCAGAGCAGTTTCCATTTCTGAGCTGCTTACTCACCTCGTACTAGCACTGTAGGCTGCCCTCCCAGTAGCCCAGCTGCATACACTTGCACACCCTCCCTGCCAGAAGGTCTGAGTCTGCTTTTTCACTTCAGGGGCTCTATAAGATCTCTGAAAGGTAACTGCTGTGTGTGCTTTGACTGCAACTGCTGAGTGTTCCCACTAACCTGGGATGAGATCCAAGGTAGCTGAGGAACAGAGTAACTTTTTGAAAACTGAAAAGCTGGTAGAAAATGGAAAACTGAGTACATGATTTTGTTACAAATAACACAAGCAGGGAAGGAATACACCTGATGACTTTAAACTCATAGTTTTCCCATATTCAAAAGGCTTATAATAAGAAATAAAAAACACACTAAAACAAAACTGGAATGTAAATAACTAACTGCCACAGGGGTATCTTAGCAATTTATGTATATATAAACAGTATAGGCTGTTTGAAATATGGCTTTAAGACTCAAATTTTGCAGTTTATTCTGTCAACACAGTGAAATGTGTTCAGATGCAGACAAAATCGGCAGGAGGAAGGAGGCATACAAATCAACTATCAACCATTCATTTCACCTACAAAAAGGGACGATAAACTTCCATCAAGTATTATGATGCATAATTGGCCAGATCAAGCACTCCTTAATTACTAAGTATATTAACTGTACTTCAGGCAGAAGTCTCTATGATTGATATCACACAGGCACAACAACTGCTGTCTTCAAAATCATCATGTATTCAGTTCCTAAATAGGTCAAAGGTATTTCAAGTCTTCTAATATTCCATTTCCCCACTAATAAGTCCTGCATTTGTGTTATTTGATTATACTAAATAACTTTGCTCCTTGTGGCTTACAGGGCATTTCATGGCAAATGGTAATTTGTTTGCCAAATCATAAAAATATTAAGTGCTAACGCAAGACTTCCAAGAATCCCTTTCCTATACAAGTCAGTTGTGTAGCTTTACTTTTTAATTTTGATGCAGAAGGCTTGAGACAATTTCAGAACTGAGAATGACACTATAGTAGGATGAACATGAGACTGGAAATTCAGCAGTACAAAATACAATGTAATGCAGTTAGGTAGTAAGATCTGCTGTAAAGTTGGGACCTCATAAATTACATGTGAAGGCTCAGAGATACATTAGTTAAAGAAAAGCAAGGCATTAGAAAGTGAAGTATTAATGCCGTTGTAGAAGACACCACTGGCATGTCACCTGGAATGCCGTACATAATTCTGCTCATCTCACTGCCAAGAGAACTAAAGCTAGAAGAATAAAGTAGTTGTCTGAAGGAATGGAGAACCTAACGTGCCAAGAAAGGTTGAAAGAGATTGTCTCAATCACCCTAGGACTGCAAAGCATGTCCGTGGTTTTTCATGTGCTAACACATCAGTAGGATGACTGTATCAGAAGAGCTATGTAACTTTGCTGTCCTGAACAGTGAACTAGACTTGATGACTCATGTCATGCCTTTCAAATGTTGTATACCTAATTCAGTGCATATTCTCTATGAAAAATGAACCAGTCCTTTATGCCACTGCATAAAAAACATGTGAGAACTTAACTATCTGTACAAAGGATTTGGGAAATGGCATAAAAAGCAACACACACCCTCTGCCATGTTGTCATAGTTTACAGTGCAATAAACAAATTACTATTGTATATGAAAACAAGTAATTTATTAAGAAAATTCAGAACTATTCACTTGTATATTCATGGAAGTACTTGAGTAATAAAACGAAGAAAATTTTTGTATGAATTTCAGTGTAAACACAGAAAGGAAACAAATTATCTGATTACAAATAATTGTACTGCACAGATTTGTGAAATTTCCTCTGCAGAACAAATGCAGCTGGTGTGCAATGTTATTATCTTGTTCTAATTTTCACTGTTCTTCTCCTATACAAAGATCCAAAGCCAAGTGGCCGTCATGCTTTGATAAGCAACATGCCTGCAGGCAGAAAGGATGTAGGAGCCCCACTGGGAGAATCTGTCAGCTTTTCTTTGACCTATAAAGTTCTGGTTTGGTAGATGATTGCTTTAATCTTTTATATGATTACTATATAGTAGATAACCAATACCGTATGTGGTTACATTGAACTTTCAGGTCTTGTATTCTAGATTCAGCTACGTCAGTACTTAGTTTAAGTTATCTCTTCATTTTATTCTTTCCTTCTTTCTGTCATTTTATATGCATTGCAGGTTTCTTTCACTGCATGGAAGTATAGAATTTTTCAGAGTTATAATTAAGTTTGGAAAGTTTTAGATTGCAAAAGGAACATCTAATTTGGGAGGGTACTACATTGGGCTTCAAGGTCTCACAGTCTTTTAGCTTGAAAAGTCTACTCAAAGTTAAAAGCACATCTTATGTCAGTTAAAGCAAATATTTCTATAATTGCTCCCTTTGGATTCTTTTGGTCTGAAAATCTTGGTATTACTTATGAGCAGTCCTGATTTTAAGAAGTTTCACTTTAAAAAAGCCTTAGGTTTGCTAACATATTGCTGTAAGCAATTGTCTGGTGAAAAATTAAATTACCAGAGTCCTAACAATAGTCAATTCTCTGTACAGTCATGTATTGTAAATAGAATTATGCATTTGTGGAATATGGAGTGAAATATGATATAAAAATACTAAAAATATAAATTATCAGCCTTATCATGTTAAACTGTATTGAAAAATATTTACATGGTTATGAATTTGGCTAATAAATAGAAGCCCAAATAAAACTGTAAGAATGTATCAGCAATTGCAAAATACACGTTTACATACAACTAAAATACTTCCAGTTAGCACACGCCATAATGATCATTCAGATAATCTAGAACTGCTGAGGTACTTGATAAAACATTAAAAACTTTTTTTTCTTGTTTTGAAGTTATGCGTTCCATCATGTACATTAAGTGGTGGTGGAAACACGTAAAAGGAGTTCCATGCTCAAGAGCAATGTTAACCCAGTCCTGGATGCATTTCAAAGGTGTTTCTTCATATCCTGCAAACATTGCCGGATTCGCCAAGAGTCCCCGAGCCACCATTACACCTTGAAATTGCAAATTAAGCAAGTTACATTACAGTTAAATTTAACATTTTTTTTTATAGCAAACATTAGGACAACTACTGGGAGAACAACAGGGATGAGTATTATATATTTAAACCAAAACAACCAGTTTAACAACCAAGCCCCATAGTACCTACATCACCTGACATATGCTTACAGAAATTCTGAAGCAAAACACAAGACACAGAAACCTTTCTTCCCTACTTTTTAAAAAGCATTAAGAAGTATTTTGTTTTTATTCATTACACACATATAAGCCCATCTTCTTAACACAAAATTATGATGGAAAGACACAAGAGTAGTAAAGTGCTTAAGTTATTTTTAGTGCAACTCAGCTGACGCACTGACCTAGAATCATTCTTCCATTAACAGCTCACTTGCTCAGTTATAGAGATCTCAGGGTTCTTGGTCTGCGGTAAATCTTTGCTTTCTGAATAAGCCAGTGTATTTGCAACTATATTCCCAAATTGTTAGATAAATCCAGCCAAGTTCTATTGCAATATTTCTGCAACAAAGGGATTGTTTTTCTGCACTGCCAACATATAATCTATCACATTTAGTCTCTTCTCACAAAACAGGATGATCAAAAAAGAAAATGTTTTCAGGACTCTATGAGACAGAAAAAAATCCACAAAGTTTCTAGTTTGTATTTATTAGTATCTACATTATATTTTGATCTATAGTTTGGTATTTTATATTTTTGTTATTCAAGAAAGTCAGATGGGATACAGGAACATGCGTTTGTTATAAATTTTCTTCCTGCTTTGTATTTGTGGAGAAAGTCACTGGAGCAGCATGGCAGTTTGGTGCAACTAGTTTTTGTTGTTACTTCTAAATACAAATGATGTCAAAAGAAACCTTCCACTTGAGCTCTTCCTAGATTGTGACACTAAATTGGGAGGAGTGGTTGACTCCATTAAGGGTAGAGAGATCTTAACGATATGAAGTTCAACAAGTGCCAGATTCTGCACCTGGAAAGGGGCAACCCTGGCTATATGCCCAGGCTGGGGGACAAGAGGCTGGAGAAGCGTAATTATTCTGAGTCTGTGATTCCTTATGACACTAGCTACTGTTCTCTGTCCTGTTACACTCTGGATATATGACTCAAAGTGTGTAAATCCAGATCCCTTCTTCGAGGTATATACTGAACTTGCATGTTGGCTTGGAACCACAGACAGCTGCAGGAATCTGTTGTGACCAAGTAAGTGCAGGGCAATCCTTTATCCCCAAATTTTACCACTAAAGGGTAAGGCAAGGTAAAATCTGTTGCTGTGTGCAGGAAGTAGAGGTTTCCAAGTTACAGTTTAGTGTTCTGTAAAAAGATGATCAGCTCCATAAAGAGATAGAATGGATGTCTCAAGGTCCCTCCTGAACTCCACTACCAGTGATGACATGGCATAATTAAGCAAAGAGTTTTTGTAGCTTACCTCCAAAATCTATTTGTGGCTTTGAATAACTATGCTCTGATGCTTTGATGATTAGCAGCAATTCTGCTTATTAGTTTATAAGGCATCTAAAACATCATCTTCCATTTGTCTCCTCAAAAAGTGAAAAGCACTGAAGCTAGGTCCTAATTACAGCCAAAATAGATACTTAGAAATTTAATTTGTAAGTTTACTTAGAAAATAGCATGCATTTCATCTTACCATCTGCTCCTGTCAGGTGATGAACATTTTCAGCATCTTTTAAAGTTTTAATGTCTCCATTAGCCACAATAGGTATAGACACGCTTTCTTTAATTACTTTAATTGCATCATAATGTACAGGCTGATGTCTTTCTTCTACATTTCTCCCGTGTACTGTAATCCATGAGACTCCAGTTGCTTCAGCTTTTTGACACAGGTCAACAGTTCTTTTTAAGTCTTCATGTATCCTAAAATTACAAGGAATAAAAACACTAGCTATTAAGTTACCTGAACTGTATAAAACCCCTCATCCATAAGGAAGAGTTACCAGAGGTTAGTATAAATAAAGAAAACATTACTGTTGGAAGGTAAAAACATTTTGCTTAATAAAGATATAAGCGTTTAATGCTGAAATCACTACATAACTTAGCATTTCCCAGTTATATCTCATCTTTGAAGTATGCATGGTGAATTTTATTGAGATTAAGGCAAGGGTGCACAAAAGATTCTAAAATAATTTAATTATTTTGCATAAGTTTGTGAAAAAAATCTGATTTATAACAATTCTCCTTTCCTAGGGGATTATAAACCAAATTGAAACTTAACAAACAAATATGCAAAAGCTACAGGAGATGTGAGGATAAGTAGTGGATGAAGTGGATCAACAGTTTATACAGGTTTAGAAAGTGATGAAGGGAAACAGAATGTGTCCTTACAGCAGCTGTGGGGACCAGTTCCCAGCTTTGTTATCATGCCTTTTATAGCAACTACAGTTGTGGCTCTGGCCCGTAACAGCTCACACAGTCCTCACAATTATAGACCAGCATTGCTTTTCTTTCATGGAATCCAAAACCATTTAACTTGTACTTTAGCTTCTTCTGGATTGCAGGAAAGTTCTGGCAGCCACTCTGATATCTGTGTCAGTAGTCAAAGGCTGTGCTGGTGCATATGCCCTAACATATTCCCTTATCTTTAGAAAAGCATTAAAAGGATTTCTGGGTACCACAAATAGTACTTACATCAGACATACCTTATTTTAATAGACACTGAAAATCCAGGATTGTCAATCTGATTCCGCACATGTCTCACCATATCTCGAACTAGCTCTGGTTTATTTATCAAGCAAGCACCATAACCTTCCGCCATTGCCCATCTTTAAAAGAAAAATAACATTTGTATTCTACATTTGAAAAATGCAGATCAATTTCAGTCAAATACATCAGTTTCTTTCTTTATAGCTTTTAGAATGTGTGGCTAAGTAAACAGAGATAGTCATGGCTGTAGTTTGATGACGCATCTGCGCTGTGACACCAGCTTTCAGAACCTGGTTCAGTCTGTGTGCTGCTAGCAGCATTTTGGACAAGTAACTAATCTCTTCCAGTTCTATTTTCTATCCACAAAATGGGCTTGCAAGGAAGATAAATTAATATTTAATTAACAACAGTTTAGATCATACATAATAGAAATAGTTTGATATTTCCCCTTCCATCACGTCATGGATTTCTTCAGAACACAGAATGACTTGGGATTGAAAAGGAAGATTTTCTTGAGTGGAATTAGAACCTGACTGCAATAACATCTTTTTCCTCAAGTGAAAACCAATTATTTTTGATTGGATAACCTTTGCTTTCACTGAACAGCAGCACTTTTTTTAGCTTTTATTTTCTTTAAACTATTTTTTCTTATATAGGCAGATCAAGTGTATGCAGTTTTACTATACTGAAACCAGCATGCACACAAAATAAAGGATTCAAATGTAAGCATAAATTTTTGTCCTAAAAAGAAGTTAAAGTTTTGCATACATGGTTGCAATTAGCTTAGAAAAAAATACACTTCCATTTGGAGGTCTCAGATCTCTGAAGTGTTTTCTCAAATACTGTAATTTTAAGCCAAGACAACCTAATTAGAATAGACAAATTAAGTACTTGGACCATTACATTATCTTTGCTTTCTTACATTTATTTTTGAGGGTTTTAGTTACAAAAAGACTGCCTAACAAGCATGTAATAAATGGTTCTCAACTGAACCTGTTAGTGAGAATCTTCATTTGTGCATTACTACTCTGTTTCAGTGCCAAGACAAAATCTTTATCAATTTAAGTGAGAAGTAGATCACTAATTCACTGCATTTATAAACCTAATGAAAGATGGAGGGAATTCTGTTCAGCACTTCCTGAATAATATAATACATGTAATTATATTTTAGAGACTATCCTTCAATTGCTGAAGTCTGACACGTCAGGGACTTGCCTTGGTATTTTGGGAACTGCTGCATTGTTTCTCAAAACACTCTGCAAATTACTTGCAGCAAAGCTCTTTTTCGGGGAGGTCAAATGCTGCAGGGTGGCATTAGTAATGCCTATTTAACAGTTATTAAATAGTCACGGACACTTGACTTCTAAGCCAACACTCAATGTGTCAGAAATGAAAAAAGCTGAAGTTGGGAAACTCCTGGTTTTCCCAGTCTCACCACGGCGACTGGCATCTCTGAACATTCAGAACAATTATTTAGCCACACACATTTCTAACTGACAGGTCAAAAAGCTGTTTCAATCTCCAAGTCTATTTTCAAGCATCCTTTATTTCTCAAATTATTTCACCGTATTTACCCCCTTTTTCCCCCCATAACTTTACCTCTGAGGACAGCCACAGTTTAAGTCTATTCCATCTGCGAAAGGACAGACGATACGGGCAGCATCACATAAAACCTGCGCCTCTTTAGCAGCAAATTGAACGATCAATGGATTATCACCTACTCCAGTGGAAAGATATTTAGAGATTAAAAAAAAAAAAAAGAAAAGGAAAAATCAAATCTGTATTTTGAATGTTCTATTATTTAAATGTTAGTGTTTAACTTTCTTAAAATTCTAAGAAATACATGCTTGTTTACAATTGATAATTTCTTGTCAAAACCAATAATCAGTTTAAAAGCAGCATTATTAATTCAGTCTATTCAGAAGGTAACAATGGGAGAATAATTCAACTGTTGTTCTGTCACACTGTGTATCGTTCTTGGATGTTCTTAGACTGAGAACAGCTAAACATTAAAAGCAAAATGAATAAAGACATAATTACTGCCACTTCATCTCCAACATTAATAATCTATCCGTTCTCTAACTTGTTTATTATTTTCCCCATTACACCTCTGTTATTAAAATAAAATCTTATAGGTCAAGTTACACTGTCATGTAATTTTTCAACTGATCCCCGCTGTTGCTATACTGAACTCTGAACAACACATGCAGAACCAGATACACTCTCTCAATCCATTTCAGCATTTTTTCAGCTATTCTTCAGACCATAAAACAACAACTCTTGTAAAAGCAATAACAAATGAAGAAGCGATGTCTTACAGGAGTAAGTTATAAAGCAGACTGAAAGCAAACTCTAGGAAGAAAAAATGAAGCTTCCTGAAGTGGGACACAGATATAAGGCACAGATCACACTGATACTCCAAAAAACATACAGACTCAGTAAAAGATGTCAAAGAACCAGAAAACTGAGTATACTAATGAGGTGGCTTCCAGCCTCTGTTCCCAGGACTGTGACAAGTCCTGGATATAAAACAAGTGACTGTTTAGTACGAAATCCATAAACCCAATATTCACTAGATGAGCAGACTACAAACAGCTGTGCTCTCTTGTGCCAGTTCCCCCTCCAACTGATCAAAGTAGTCTGGTGTTCGTCATTGCTATATAACCTGGTTCTGGCAGGAGGAGTAGGAAATATCTTCTCCCCTAGATTATTTTTTGGCTACTGAAGTGCTCTTTGCATACGTAGGACACGTAGTTTTGACTTCTTGGCTGAGGGAGACTTAGGAAAAAGGAAGCCTGCTTCTATCTGTGTACTCTAATCCATATATCATTATTATTATTATTATTTTAAAAAAGACTCAACAATCTTCTTCACTCCCAATGTTTTTTTAGAAGGGCAGCTTTTTTTGAAGGCAGGATAACCCTGACAAAGGAAAAATAGCACTGAGATGATAAAGGGGCTAGAGCATCTCTGACGAGAGGCTGATAGACTTAGGGCTGTTCAGTCTGGAAAAGACAAAGCTCAGGCGAAATCTTATCAGCATGCATAAATAACTGAAGGGAGGGTACAAAGAAGATGGAGCCAGGCTCTTTTCAGTGGTAAAAAGGGACAGGATAAGAAACAATGGGCACAAACTGAAACATAGGAGGTGCTGCCTGAACATTTTCCTGAAGGTATGAATTTATTTATTTTTTTGAATACTGTATGGGTGACTGAGCACTGACAAATGTTGCTTGGAGAAGCTGTGCAGATTCTCTCTTTGGAGACCTTCAGAAGCTGCCTGGACAGGGGCCTGGGCAGCCTGCTCTGGGTGTTCCTGCTTGAACATGGGGTTGGAGCAGATGCCTCCAGAGGGCCCTGCCAACCGTTTTGGGGTTTTGTGAGCCCTGGATCACATATGGATAGAGGTAGTTAACCTCTATTTAGTAACCTTAGTGGTTACTAAATATGTGTCTATCAAGTGAGGTGGGAATTCAGATATACACCTGTGTCCTAGACAGCTGATACATACACTTTTTTTCTGATCAAAATCGGTCAGATGCTTACATTTCCTTAAGATGATACATGAAGTGAAGCACCTGGGGCCAAAATGCCACTTAATAATAGATATTTTAGTTCTTTACTGGATCTAGCCTCAGTTTGTTCAACATAAAGATTTTGATAGGTAATTATAAAGGGGAAAACAGAAGTCATACAGAAGCATTCCATATCACTACAGCTTATTGCCTCTCACTACAAGAAGGACATTGAGGTGCTCTCTCCAGAGAAAGGCAACGAAGCTGGTGAGGGGTCTTTGAGGAGCAGCTGAGAGAGCTGGGGTTGTTCAGCCTGGAGAAAAGGAGACTCATGGGAGACCTCTTCATGCTGTACAATTACCTTAACAGAGGCTACAGCAAGGTGGGGATTGGGTTCTTCTTCCAAGCACCGAGTGATAAGAGAAGAGAAAATGGCTTTAAGTTGCACCAGGGGAGGTTTAGGTTGGATATTAGGAGAAATTTCTTCACTGAGAGGGTTGTGTGGCATTGCAACAGGCTGCCCAGGAAAGTGGCTGAGTCATCATCCTTGGAGGTCTTCAAGAAATGTGTAGATGTAGAACTTAGCATGGTTTAGTGGTGGACTTCAGTACAAGGTTAAAGGTTGGACTCGATGATCTTGGAGGTGTTTTCCAATGTGAATGATTCTACGATTCCATATAATAATTCTATTATTAAGCAAATGAAGCAGAACACAGTAAATTTAGCTTTAGAGTATTCTCTATTTTTCAGTAGCCTTCCTGCTTCCCCTCCTAGCCTGCCCCTTCTTGTCTGTGTGCCGTCCCTTTGCTGTGCTGACATCGCTGTCTGTCTTGGCAGGCATAAAATGTGTTTAGCTCCTTTCTGAAGGATTAGTTCCCTAAGCAACCCGCTAACTTCCCCCTTCCTTATCCCAGGCCATTTGTCCTCTTCTGCACAAACATGGCTGGGTTTTGTTCACAAGGCAGTACGCAGAGCTGGAATGAGAACACACAGGCAGAAGCAGCTTTTGCAGCTTTGTCTCAAGTGGGAAACCAAAGTGCCAGTGCTCCTCAGCTCGGGTCTGGTGAACTATCCATGATTTACTAAGCCCCTGCAGAGTGCCAGATGGTCATTTGGAACAGGCTCTCCTCTTTTACAGCTACTGCAATACATTAAAGGCATCTAAAAATATTTCAGTATTAGCGCTCCCTTTCCATATACACTATTGCTGCAGTTATGGGGGAGGGGGAATGGGGTAACACAAGTATATGAGCATTAATCCAAAGAGAAAATCCAACAAATGCGCAATGCACGTGTACTTCTGGTACTGATAAGACCGCAAGTGCTTCTGAAGGTTTTCCCATCTCAGTGGAAAATATAGAGTTCTGTAAGTAGCTGAGCTTCAGTCAGAGAGGTCAGCAGTACCCTCTCAATCAATTTGAGACACTTCTCTAGGTTACCTAAAACTCCAGCAAGCTCCCCAAAATCCCTTGCATATTTTCAGAAGTGTTCATTTACACAATCCTCTAGCTGAAGAGATTTACACTGTTACAGCTAATATATTGGAATAATCACAGGATCATTAAGGTTGGAAAAGCCCTCCAAGAGCCTAGTCCAACTGTCCTCCTACCACCAATGTCACCCACTAAACCATGTCCCTAAGTAACACTACCATCCATAATCTCATGCTCCTAGTTTTTTTTGGCTGACTATTAAGTAATAATACGAGCCATAGTTAATCTTTTAGTAGCAGCCACAGGGATGATAAACCTCTATTTTAGAAATACACAACAAGGAAATGTCAGTGCCAAATCAAATGAAAACCAGAAATTGTAACTGTAGGCTCTGAACCTACCCTGCTAATTAGAAGACAAATCCCCAAACAAACAGCCAGGAAGTTAAACATAACCACAGTAAAATTTCACAACCTGTTGTGAAGCAACAGGTTAAAAGCATAAACGATGATGTAAATACTGTAATATTGGCAAAGATGTCAGAGGCAGAATGGTTTTGGAGACTTATAAAACTAAGGCAAATGTGAAAGAGGTGAGGAGGGAAAATATATTGTTTATAACATTAGAACACTTAATTCTGTAACCTCTGTTAACAGGCAACAACATTACAGCAGAAAGGAGAAATTCCTCTCTCTCCCCATCCCCTTACACCTCGAAAGGCACTACAAAGCTAACCTGTGGAACTTCAATGCCACGGGACACTGTGAAGATCAAAAGCTTAAGTAAATGCAGGAGGATCTTAGTCTGTAGACCTTTGAGCCATATATAGTGTAAATTATGTTCTTATTCATCTATTTTTACACACAAAAAAATTATCCAAGCTTTCTTTCCAGTTGAACTCTACTAGTAAGGGTCTACCTGTGCTTCCCCATGTGACTTTTCTCTACAGCTGACTTGCTGCACTTGAATAATGTACTGTAGTAAATGGTCAGTGATAAAATCATGAAATTTACTTACTTTACTTTACTTTACACCTGTGTGCGTGCATAGCTGCTGGAAAAGGTCAACCCACCACACACTTAAATCAGTTTGTAGGCCCTGCTTTTCAGGTGAAGACACGGTTTTCTATTACTTCACTTGAAACATTATCACTGGAATGTACTTACTCTGATTGTAAAACCACAGCAAAATTCTAAATAATTCATATATAGTATCCTTAAATTGTTATGCATGTCAACCTGCGAGATAGACTTAATTTGCTTGGCCAGTTTGGTTTATCGCTAGATAACGTATTCTGAAAAGATAATGACTTATTGTAAAAGAATACCTTTATTTGTTGTGAATTCGCTGTCTCTTGCTTTTGCGGATCTCACAAAATCAGCTGCCACTATCATTGGTGTATAACACAAGTCGCAGCTGTATTTTCTAACCAAGGTTCTGAAAGCCAGCCTGCGGACACATGAAAATTAACAACAAATTGTAATGACATTTCTCTGATTAGCTACTGTAAATTGCTGTCCTTACATGCAATGCCATGGGGGTGTAAAACTGTAAGACAAACATGTCTCATGTCTATGGCAAGCTTAAACAGTCGCAGGAGAATCATGGAATCGGTAGGGTTGGAGAAGCCCTCCCAGATCACCTGGTCCAACCACCCCCTACCACCAATGCCACCACTAACCCATGTCCCCAAGCACCACGTCCAACCCCTCCTTGAACACCCCCAGGGACGGTGACTCCACCACCTCCCTGGGCAACCCGTCCCAGTGCCTGACTGCTCTTTCTGAGCAGAAATGGCTCCTCATTGCCAGCCTGAACCTCCCCTGGCACAACTCGAGGCCATTCCCTCTGGTCCTGTCACCAGTTCCCTGTGAGAAGAGGCCGACCCCCAGCTCCCCACACCTTCCTTTCAGGTAGCTGCAGAGAGCAATAAGGTCTGCCCTGAGCCTCCTCTGCTCCAGCCCAAACACCCCCAGTGCCCTCAGCCGCTCCTCACAGGACTTGCGGGGAAACCCTCCCTGTTTTTACAGTCAGGAGCAGCTTTTTGAGCGCAGACACGCTGTGCGGGCAGCTGCCAGGCCAGTCACTTACTTCGAGTAGCGCACCATGGGGGCACAGATCTTTACAAGGCGCCCAGCCCGAAACAACTCCCCGGGCTCCTTCCCCGGGCATCCTTTAATTCCCTCGCCGTCCCCACTCATCTATCCCCACCAACCCGTCCGGCATCTGGAAAAAAAAAAAACACAAAACCCCGGGGCCGGGGTCCGCGGGGTGGGGGCGTCTCCGAGGGGCTGCCCAGCCCGGCTCGGCGGAGCCCGGCTCCGCTCCACACACGCCGGCAGCTGCCGGTGGGACGGCCCCGCTCGGCTCCGCTCCGCTCCCGTCGCTCTCCTTCGCCATCATCGCCCTGCGCCGCCGCCCGGGAGTGACGCGGGGCCGCCGGCACCTGCCAGCATGGAGGAGGAGGAGGCGGCCGGAGCGGCCCCGCTCCCCGCCCCGGCCCTGGCCGAGCTGCTGGCCGACGGTGAGCCCGGGGGGGACGGGGCTGTGGGGACGGAGGCGCCGCGTTGTGTCCCCGGGACCCCCGCTGCTGCCTCAGGGGTCCGGGTTGGGGATCGGGAGGGGAAAGAGGAGGGGAAAGTGGGGCTGCCCGGTGCATGGGGTGCTGCCTGCATGGCAGAGACCGGCCTCTGCCCCCTGTTCTTAGCCCTGTTCCTGCCCCTGTGCCTCTTCCTGCTCCTGCTCCCTGTCCCTGCCTGCCCGGTGCCTTGCCCGTGTTCCCCTGCTCGTCTTGGTAATATCACCGGGGAGCCTTCCGTGCAAAGTCTCACTTCGTTAAAAACCACCCCTACGGCATCATTTCTTAATTTAGCATTATAAATTAACGCCATTATCAGGCGCGGTACGCTTCGTGAAGTTGGGTGTTTGGCTGCTGTCGTTCCCAGTGGGGGCTGCTGTGTGCTGGTTCTGGGTCCAGCCTCTGCGGCCTCACCCTGGTTACGTCTGAAAAGTTGGAAGGTGTCAGTGCCTTTTCAAGAAAAAAGTGGGGATTAAAGGAACGTGTGCTCTTTTTCACCATTTACAAAAACAGACAACAAAACAGGCATCATCTCCAAGCATGTTTCTCTTGCTTGTAGTCTCTTCTCAAGTAAGTCAGTGTCACACTTATTATGCGAGGCCGCATGCTGTTACATCTGGAGAAACTGAGGAGAGGTCTGTGTGCTGCGAGATGTATGCTGTACGTCCACAAGTATTGCTGGTTTGAAGCACGGAGATAACATCTAAATCTCTTTCAGAATGTTATGCTGACTTCTTCAGAGAAGACTTTGATGTGAAAGCTTACACTTCGCAGTCCATCCATCAGGCTGTGATAGCTGAGCAACTAGCAAAACTCGCCCAAGGTATTAGTCAGCTGGATAAAGAGCTTCATTTACAAGTAAGTTTAAAGCATGCCTGCTGCTCTGGGGTGGTTGATATAAACTGATTAAACGCCGAGTAGTCTTATGGTCTTGTTGCTTCTGAAATTGCCCAGCTAACTGTGCAAGCACTAACTAACTGAAAATACAGCTTGCAGCAGAAAGAGTAGTGAGTCTGATACCTAACTCAGTCAAGCTCACTCCTAATACCCCTGTGAAGAAGCTGTACACTGTTTGGTTTTGTTTTGTTTCTGCACTCAGTTTCCATATGCACAGAGGTTCCACTCTTCGTAAGGATGCTCCCTAATTCTTTCAAATTAATCCTGTCAGCTATCAGAAAAGCTTTTCAGTGTTTTGGCATGGTGACTGTGAGAAGACAGTGAATGATATGTCTTGCACCCTTTCATCCTGTGCTGGAGCGTATCCTAGGCCCTAATCCTCACCTTTAGCTGGGCAACGTAACCTATGCTTACACACCTCCACACCTTCAGAAAGGCTCTTGAGTTTGGATAATCAAAGACAGTTTGGTAAAATCCACACAGACACCACAAAACTGTTGACCTTTCCGTGAGAGTGCATGTTAAATTTGTGTGTGATTTGAGAAACTGCTCCCCCTCATTGGTAAATTCTTTAGGAATTAGTTTTTAACTTTCATAAATAGAAATGAAAATACTAAAAATATGTAATTACTGTGTGATTAGTAAGCTTACATTTATAATTATTTTATGTGATGGTGTGTTGAAACATGATTGATTGCTCTGCTGACTTAATATGTCAGCTATGCTGCAATAACTGACCCTCTTCCCATTCTGAGCTTACCGTTTTTGTGAAGTAAAATGTGTTCTGAAAACCCTTTCATCTTTAAGGTGTGGCTGCTTTTTCCTGTGTCTTCTTAATGTAGGAAGACTATGATAATTTAATATCCCTCTCAGGTGCATATCTCCATGCATTCTTCTATTGTGATTTCTCATTTCTCTCTTTTTTTTTTTAATTTTTTAAAGGTTGTTGCAAGACATGAAGACCTGTTGGCTCAAGCAACTGGAATTGAATCCCTGGAAGGTAGGAACAGTGACCTTATTTGCTATTTATTATGAGTGAGGAAGCATTTTTAACATGTGCACAGGGAACATCATTCACTGTCCACTTTGGTTTTTGTAGCTACAGATCTTACTTCTGAGAAATAATTTGGCAGTGTTTTTTTTTTTTTTTTATGTCAGCAGATGGAGCTCCAGGGAGAAGATTTGACTGATAGTCCCCTGCAATAACTACTTAATAGGAAAAAGTATCTTGATAATCAGTTCTGAGTAACTTTAGCAATCAAGTCTTTTTGGCCTTTTAATATATATTTTTTCTAAATTAATCTAATTCATTGCAGCATCTATTGCCATAAATACCATGTTTGTAAATGCATATGCGTGTGTCGCATAGCTTAGAAGTCTTAAGCGAAGAGGCTTTAACACATGATCTTCACTGCACTGAGATGATTTTTTCCTAGTAGGAAACTAGTAAATTCAATGCATTTTTTTTTTTTGTGTGTGTTTTATTCCACTATTTGAGTTCATGCTTTTAATATAAACTGCTGGCTTGTAAAGGCTTTACTTGAGAACCATGGAATCTGTACAGAAAAATGGTTGCAGAATATGAATCTGCCAGAAGCTCATTAGACCTGTCATTCTGCTCTGCTCTTTGACACTTGGGAACTTTGTATGATCTTGTGGGTGTGTGTTTTTTTTTTTTTCTTTCCCAGAAAGGTATTTACTTCTATAACACGCTAATTTACATGATGAGATCCAAGCGTATTCTCTTCCCCACCTATATTCTGCAGCTTGTAGAGTAACTTGTCTTTGTCTCATCATCTGCTTTCAGGTTTTAGCATAACCAGAGAGTTTCTGGTTGCTGACACTTGTAGTACCAGTGAGCAACTGGAAATTGTTGGACATGGTATTCAATTTTTGGCATTTATATGTAGATATAAAAATAGAGAAATGCTTATTTAATCTAGCAAACAGTTTTTTAAACAGTTGGAAATTAAAGCATAGGAAGTCTGGAATCTTTGTTCATCCTCCAAATAAGATAAGAATCTATAGTCGACATCTACATCTGTCTAATGGATCAATGTCTTCCAGTCACAATCTTCATCAATTTGTGCTCAGTGGACCTGAGTGTTCAGAAATCGTTTCTGTTTTTGAAGGCATTCCTACCTAAAATTGCTCTGAGGAAAGACTGAAGTATTTCAAAAACAGCTGTTCATTTATAAAACAATTCTATAGGTCAGGTGTGGTAAGTAACAGATTTTTTACAGATGATAACCAAAAGTAAAAATAAAATCTAATCTGCCAAAAAATTCATTATTTTTTTCATTAATGTAGGGTTATTCTCCTTAAAAGGACTCTACCATGTGTGAGGGAAAGAGAAATACAGGAGAGTTCTAATCCTGAGATTTATAGACACTTGAAACATTAGTAGAAACAACAGTTTTGTGCAAGGAAACATGATATTTGCAAAACCTTTACTCTGCCCAACTTACTGAGTAAATTGCTGGGGATTTTTTTTTTTTTTTTTTTTAGGTCTGTTCACTTTGTTAATCTATACACTGATAAATACTCTTTTTTTTGGTTCCGTTTCTATAGATAGCTGAACAGGTATATTGAATCCTGTGTTAGCTCAAGATGGGCTAGATAGTATCATCCTGTATCTTATACACCAGATGCAGAGGGTAGATTACCTTTTCATCCATCCTAATAATGTCTTCTGGCAGGAGGTACTGTTGTATTGCTAAAGAGCATACACCAGACATGTAGCAAGCAATGTTACTTCACTGTGCCTCATTTCAATGTAGAGTGGAGAATTGATCCTATTATATCTTCATCTTCTGGTGTGTGAGAATTGCGTGGCTGTCCTTCCATCTACAGATGTCAGAAGACCCCTGAATCTCACAACAGCCAAATTAATAGATTTGAAATACAGAGAATATGGGAGTAGGCATATTTATACAATACAGACGAAATACAGTTCCAGTACAGAACAAACTGAATAAAACGCTATTAGCAGTAATTTTGTTTATCTTTTGTCTTTTTGTATCTTATTGTAGTTCTGCCCAATTTGATGAAGACAAGCTTGTAAACAGGGCTTTACAAAAACGTAGGATGTTTGAGAGTGCTTACAATAACTGAAAAAAAATAATTTCATAGGTCTGGGTTTGCGTAACTTAATTAAATTCTCAGCAGGCTGATTCCACATTGTAAAAATGACTGCTACCCTTGACTGCTTTATTTGCAATTTAGGAAGAAAAGAAAACCGTGCTTGTAGGTTTTCTTTGTGCTGCTTTTCCAAATTCATCTGGAGCAGACACGATTAGGCTAGTTTGCTCTGTTTGTAATCTAAATTAGATGTTCTCACAATGACATCGATACCTTACTTTTTTGCTCAAGATGCTTATGCACAGGAAGAAAATCTTGAAATAGAATTGCTTATCTTTTCAGTTTCTCTGAACTGTCTAGTTCCTTTGTTAAACAAGTTGTGGCATTTTTTTATATCACGTTCTGCTGTTTGTATCAGGTTATATGCCTTTGAACAGCATCTTGATCATCATTCTCTTAGAAAGCAATCTCCTCTAAATATTATTTGAAACTTATCATATGATGAATTTCAGAGCAATATATCTTCTGTAGGTTTTTGTTCTGTACCAGTAAATTTTTCCATGACATTCAGTAGTTCACTGATTACCTGCTCAGGTTATTTCCAAATATCGTGTGTCTCATTCATTTCAATCTCTTTGAATATTTTATTGTGAAGGGTGAAACTGCTCTTTTTTTATGTAGAAGTAGTCTGCAGGAGATGTAATTTGAGGAATAGTTCTTTCTATAATTGATGTGTTATGTTTAAAACATCTGCTTTATTTTGCAGGTGTCCTCCAAATGATGCAGACTAGAATTGGTGCTCTACAAAGTACTGTTGATAGGTATGCCGTTCATGATGTGATTAGAAAGCCTAAATTCTTAATTGTTCTGTTATGTACTTATTAATACTTCCACAAATAAACTTCTCTTTTTATTTTTAGAATTAGAGCCAAAATCATTGATCCCTACAATAAAATAGTATCTCGCACAGCTCAGCTAGCAAAGCTTCAGGTAAGTTGTATTAAAAATACATTTTAAAAAGTCTTTTTAATATGCTTTGTTTCACGGTCCTCTAGTCCCCCCAGGTGAATCGTCAGATATGGATGGGATTTCCAGCAGTAGACTGCAGTTTGCTCTCAGTATTTCTGAGTGAAAGTCAGTATTTGTGTGTCTCCTCATGAACTACTGAGAACTGCTTCACGTTACAAAGTAGGAAACTGACCTTTGCATTGGCTTTGTTAGTTTCTGTAGAGATGGTGGGTAAGAATGAAAGGCTATAAGAACACAGGTTAATTAAATTTTCATTACTGTCTGGGTATATTTGATACTGTTACGGTATCAGCGTGTTGGAGATACTTTTCACATTTACATGAGTGCAGGCTCAACTGCAGTTTAGTAAAGAGTTTGGGAAATAATTCTTTCAAGATAGCCAAGGTGCAATTTACAGAGCCAGTTGTGGTTCCAGTGTTTCATAAGCCCAGGTACGTAGCTGTTCCTATCTTTTAAATGTAAGTGGAGTCTACAGAGAGTGTACTTCTGTGTTAACGGAGAGCAGTTGTAGAGAGCTTTTCACAGTGATGGTGAGGTAAGTGTCAAACGCTTCTATTTCTAATTTTATTATAGCTTAAAACTATTCCATAGATCTTCAGGAGTTAATATAGCTGCGTTCTGTTCAGCGTATGGTTTGAAAAGAAACACAACTTCAAATCTGTGACTGTTAAATGAGTTACTGTTTGAACTGTTTCTCTTCACAAATTTACCTTGGGTTTGTAGAGCTAGGGATTTATCTTCTAGTAGCAGAAATGTGAGCTGTGGATATATGCTCAGGGAGGTTGCCATTGTCTGCTGTTGTACACTAGAGGAGGTGAGACTGCAAACAGTGGCACGCAGCTTCCAGTCTGGGGGCTGGTGGAGCAAGTGCACTAGTCTCTTGGATGAAGCTCTGATATGTTCTACATCATTTTCAGTAGCAATGAAGTTCAGCAGGAAGCTCTTACCAGTCTGTTCAGCCAGTTTGTTCAGCTGCTTCTCCTGTTCTTCCCAACTCCAGCTGTCAGTGTTTTTGCCAATGGGCAAACTGTCCATGACTTCCGTGTGCCAGGTTAGGTGCACATTTTCTTATTTGTTCTTGGGTGTATGTTACAAGTGTGGAAAGTGTTGCGGGAATTTGAGGCTAAAGATCAAGATCATTTCTTCCTTGACTTTACACAAAGTCAAAGTGGAAGGCCCTGAATGTAGGCAATATTTCTTGGGTTTGCTTTGCTTCCTCTTTGCTCTAGCAGGGATATGGCCATACAGAGGTTACATGGGTTTTTCTGTGGTGTGAAAGCATCATGCACCCAGGGGCTGGGGTCAGCATTACTCAGCCTGTGCAGGGGCATTTGTAATACCTGTTTTTTCTGAGCTGTGAGTCCTCTTGTTCTAAATGCCAGTCCAAAAAAAAAAAAAATGTTTAGGGTGAAGGCAGCGTGCTAGGCTCCATTCTTGCATCCAAAGCTGCCAACTTCCCTCAGTGCACAAAAAAAGGATGACTAGCTTGTCTAGCAGAGTCCTTAGCATGAGAGCTGCTGTCCCCTTGTCTTGTCAGATACGTAGTGAGTGCATTATGTTGCTGTTGTGTCCTTTTACCTGGTTGCCTTATTTGTTCAGGAAGGAAGGGCATCAGCACAGCAAACAACTCACTTCCTGGCTGTGGCACGGTTTATGAATGAGACACTTGTGGCACAGACACTTTCAAACTTGCTAATTTTATCATTTGATATACAGTTAGTACAGTAAGTGTATTAAAACAAAGTAGGTGACTGATAAAAGAGGATGCTCTCTATCAAAACCTGTAGGGTTGGCAGTTATCCTTTGCTGCTTTGCTGAACTGCGTGGTGTTTAAGGGCCTCCTGTATTCATGGTTGTATTACTTCAGTGCTTCTCCTTTGATTGCTATGGGACTGCTCACAAACTGAAGGAGTATTTGGCTTGCATAAAGCTAGATTTTGCTATCCTTAATTGTTTTTAATATAGTCTGGCTTTTTCATAAACATTCTCACTGCAAATTCATTGTCAAACTTCAAATCCAGTCCCGAATTCTAAATCTCTTTTGTATGCTTGTATTATTTCTTGCTCTGCACTTACAGCTTCATGGCATCCCAGGGGAGTAGTAGACTCACAAAGCTTACTTCCTATTTTAAATCATGCTATCCTCTTCTGAGCACATTCATAGTCTTTCCATGGAATATCACAAGCTAAACGGGATTAGTTAAGAGCTGAAATATGTAGACAGAGAGTTTGTCCTTCAGAGAGTTATTTTCTGTGGATTTCTAACTGTTTCTACATATGTTCTTAATTTTGGATATATTAGAGTTTAAAAATCCCTATAATATCAGAAATTTTGAAAGCTTTTTTATTTAAAAAACATATTTCTATAGTTTAAAATTATTCTCTCTTTAAAGTATTTTCCAGTAGCAGAGTTTTTCCTGGTACTACAGAACCTAAACAGTCAATGTAGTCTTAAAATAGTGGACTGTCCCATCTTTCTTCAGGCTTCTGTTACATATGCAAGCATATCTCATATATATTGTGTTGTATATACAAGCATATATATATATATCACATATATATATGCAGTTCATTTGCATTGTGATCTGGCAGATATCTGCAATTGCATATATGAGCTGTGTGCTGGCAGAATGTCAGGTGGTCTTCTCTTTGTAATTGTCTTCCTTCAATAATTTCATAAAACTAATTTAAGAGTAAGAGGCTTTTTGTTAATTTAAATTTTAGCAAGAGTGTTGATATGTTGGTTTAAATTTCAGCAGATAACTAACATGCAATCTCCCAAAAAATTGTGCTTGATTTTTTAATTTTATTAAAACACTGGGCCTAACTTAGGCCACTGGCTTTGTTCCAAATTACTTCTTGCTTGAACAGTGGAATTGATTCCTTCTTGTATGGAAGTATCTCCTTTAGGAAAGCATACTATTTTAACTCCAGAAGTGACTGTTTCTTGAATTAATTCAGACTTCTGCTGTGCCAGTGGTCAGGCTTGGTAATCTAGCATCCCTGAACAACTCCGCTACTAGATGTGTTTTTTTATTTCCATTACACAGTCCTCATATATTGCATTCTTTTATCGTGACTGAGAGTTTTATGAAGTTGCACAAGTCATGTAAGTGGAAATACTTATGTGAAACGTAATGTTTGTCAAGGGCACAATGCAGTAGCGATGGCTGTAAAGTTAAGAGCGCATCTTCAGTGTGAATTTTCTCTCCCTCCTAATTCGCAGGGTTAGAAGTTGGATCTCAATATAGCTTTTCCTAGCTCTTATTCAGCTCAATAGTCCTTTCAAAAGGTTGTTTCTTGGTATGGGAGATAACGAACAACAATCAAATGAAAGAGAAATATTCTTCAGCATGTAAAGTACAAGATGGTCAGAAGATAACTGAAGTTGAATTCCTAGGGAAAAACGTTAGTCAGAGGTACACAATTGGATTAGGAAATAATTAAATCTGAAGGCAAAGTAGTAATACTGTGCCCTCATATTTGGTGAAGCACAGTGCACAATATCAAAAGCTATTTTTGATCCGGCTTGCAGAAATTTAGTTCACAGATATGAAAGTGATATGCGGATCAAGATTTTTCTAATTAAAGAAATGGATTAATAAAAACTGATATGTTAATCTCTCAAAAGCAGGATAAGCCCCACTTGGTTCTCACTAATAATAGAAATCATGTGGTTAAGTCATCTCAGAATGCCTAGGAAACTCGCACTTAATGCTGTGTGATACAGAGCCGAAAGCAATGAGTGTGTGTGCTTTCGGTGCTTTGTCTCTGTGGGGCTTTTGTAATTTTTCCTTCTTTTGTCGTGCCTAGATGTTGAATGAAATGTTAATATATGTATTTCCATTGTTTTATGCTGTCGTACAGTAGGGATTGGCAAGTTGTGCAGTCCACTGAATATTGGCTGAAGCGATTATATACGAAAATATGTGTGCTTAACATTAGTTTTCAAGACCTAAACTTGAGTCTAAAAAAAGGGTTCAAAATCTGTCAAGTACTGAATATTTTTTAAAGTAATTTTAATTTCATCTTGGTATCCATAAGATAAACATTTCAGGAGGATTTATTGTCAGTACAAGGGAAAATAACTGAACAACTCTTCTTACTCATTCCAAATTTCTTACTTATACCTCTTGTTAATCTGATTGCAGATGCTGGAGACAAGTTTCAAAGTAATGCCAGTGACTACTGAAATCCATACACTTCTGTCCCTTCTTCTAAATCACACTTCTGAGTTGTAGTTTTGATGCTAGCCACTCCAGAATGTTGCTTCTCCTGTAGCACGTACCTCCTAACCTGACAGACTCAGTCCAGTCCTAGATGAAGTCTATTATCTCTGCTTGTTCTATGGTCTCTGGTTATATGGTTTGTGGTTACTGATCTCTAAAAACTTTGATGCATCTTTAGGACTCCTCTTATGTCATGAGAACCCTCTTCCATTGTAAGACTTAAAAAATTCATCATGCACTTGATCTAACTCTTTGTCTCTGTTGTTTACTGCGTAGAATGAGAAAACCTGTTTGAAAACGTGGGTTGGGTGAAAAATGGTGAAACTATTATGTTTGATTCAGATGTCAGCAATATCTTTGTTCTGAATTGGTACTAATGAAAACATGGAAATATTTTTCCTGAAAATTTGCATATGCATCCATCTTAATTTTAAGATGTATTTTCATAAACCTGTGAAATAATATGAACTAAGAGTTGACTGCATGTAGATTACTGGCCTTAGGAAAGTTTTGATGAAAATGAATGTTTACATACATTCTTACCGTAAGAGTCAATATTTATAACAACACTTTTAAGCCTTTAAGTTTTATTGTCCTCAGTAGTAAATGCTGCCATTTTGCTTATTTTGGATCAATATTTAATTGACAAAGCCCACTTCTTAATTTTACTCATGTTTAGAGAGGGGAGAACTATTTAGAAGGAATTCAATACATAAAAAAGCTCACTTCTGGATAGAAATAGGATATGTCTCTGTCATAGGGTCCTGAATTTACTTTTTTTTTGCTAGTAATAACAGTATAATCTCAGTAGCCCAATAAATATAATTTCCAGCTGTTGAAAGTCATCTGTCATTGCATTAAATTGTGACAAAAATCCTTTTCAGTGTTCTAAAGTTCTTTGTTTTTATTCACATTCATATTTCCTTTTCAGTTAAAATGTTTCCATATTTGAGGCCTAAAATTATGTGATTGTAATGAGCTGATAATATCCTCTAATGCTAGGATTTCTCTGCAGGCTGCCTGTGACTTGCTGCGGAGGATAATACGCATCTTGCATCTCAGTAAGAGACTTCAAGGACAACTGCAAGGAGGAAGCAGGGAGATAACAAAAGCTGCCCAGAGTCTCAATGAACTTGGTGAGTCCTTCTTAGTTACTTTTAGAGGCATTTTTAGCTTGCACTCATACGACTTACGATAGTGTTTGACTTCAGAAACAAAGAATCCCCTAAAACTTTTTACTGTGGTTCTGTTTCCTGACTTGAGTTGTGAAATGGTGTGGACAGAACTGTTCTGAATTTGGTACCTTCATTCAGCATCTTCAGTTTTTTTATATGACTTCTCTAGATAAAGGTATTTAATATCATGAAAATTTTGTGAGAATTTTTTTTGGGGGCAACAATTTTTACAGATAATTAATTTCTGACTGGTTTGTTCTGTTATGGGAAACCCATATGGAGAATGGGTGTCCCCAGGCATCCGGAGTCAGCTCAGAGTCGTCCTTTTTATTAACACAGTGAGAATTTAATAGTACCCATATATCAGCTTAAGCTGGGTGCTTCCAAGGAGGGGCTGTGCTCAAAGCTTTCTCTGGGTTCTTATACTTGTACAATCTTCATTTTGTCCGCTGTAGTCCAAACAATTCTGAACACATACGCGTAACGTTCCTTCAGAATGGTGGTTCTTTGTTGCAGGGCAGCATGGCTGCTGTTGTCTCCCAGGACAGGATGTCTTCTGTTATCTCCCAAGGCAGGGTGGCTTCTGTTCAGGGCAGGCTCTGATCTGGCGCCATCCTTGGTCAGCATACTGCCCCCTTCCCAGTGCCGCTCGTTATTCCTTACATACCAGCGTCTTTTTTCCTTTCCAGTTTGTATAAAATACCTTCAGAGGTGACAGATTGTATATTTAGCTTTAGGAAGACATTGCAGTACAATAAGGCATAATTTGAATGACAGCTTGTGTCTTAAAAGAAATTTATTGGCCCTTTGACCTTTATGAAAACCATATGTGATACGATACACAGATACCTAGGCTAATTCAGATACTGGAAGCATTCTGCTGCAGCAGTGACTAATTTACTCTGGATTTTACTGGCTTGTAGAAAGAGTGATAAAATACTTCTCGTGACACTCGTGTTACGTTGCTGGACTGTTTTTCGTTCTTCAGCTAGCTTGGGTACTTCCACACGGTGCTGCAGGAAGCAGCGAAGAACATCCCATTAGTCTTGGAGATCAGTCATCACTGTTGTATATGGTATCTTGCCAGTTGTTTCTCCTTTGGTTTAATTTGGTAGTCAAATTTCAGCTTCCAAAAATAGGTTGTGGGAGGGCAGAACTATCAAACATTCAGAATCATCCTGAGGTTTATTGTGCGTATTTGTCACTACTGCTCCTTTTATACTGGGTAATCAAAAAATTATTAGACAATGATTTAGTCTTATAATTAGCAGATGCTATGTTGCAAATGGGAAGTTTAAATATTTATTTAGTTTATCAGTTTGGCTGAAGCACCAGAGCATCAATTGTAGTGTTCTAAGCTAGTATATATTTTTGCTACTGTGTCTTGGTTTTGGTCTCTCCTCTCATCACGAGGATATGTAAGTAATGCTGTCTTTTAACTGCCTGAATTACAAATCTTGTGGGATTAATCTGAATGCTAGATCCTATTCAAATAATTAGTACAATTTAATGGTAATATGAGACGTTTATGCTATCTTGTGTAGTTTTTAGGATTTCTTTAAAAAAAAGAAAAAGCCTTTTATTACCCTCCTTCCTCTTTCTTCTACGATTTAAAAGGAGACCTTCCACTTTCTTTTGTTAAAGTGCCACAATTTTTTTGAGTTTCTTGTTTTCAAATACTTGTTTTTTTTTTTTTTTGTTTTTCCTGAAGCTTGTGAAAGTCTGAGTAATTATTATTGTTGAAGGGAAATGTGTCCCCTTAGGAAGCACTCTTGAGTTTCATCCTACAAGGCATGGGAGAAGCCAAGGCTTGTGGCCCTTAATTTAATTCTGGACAATTTATAGCCAGGTAAAATCCCTTGTCTATTATCATTTCTCCCTTCCTTTCTTTTCCTGATGTCTCTTCCTTTCTCCTCTCTTACCTCTTTATCTGCATCCCTCCCTCACCTTTCAGCTCTCTGTTTTTCTCTGTTTTTCCTACCTTGCCTGTTCTGAAGTTTTCCTGCCTCCTAGATGGCCATGAAGGCCAGCACCTGGGTGCATGGGAACACCACAGTGCAGAGAGGTCAGAGCAGGGTCTGTCCTGTTTGGTGATGGTTTACTAGGAGTGGGGTGACTGCTCACAGGGGAGGAAAGTAAACAGTAAGTTTGCTTTTTGTTTTAAACAGAAAGTAAACATCGTGAGGGTGGGAGGCATGGAGAACAGACACTGGTTATTTGGTGGTGGGATGTGAAAGCTTTGGGGGGGGTTTAGGAAGTACTGCAACATCTGATGGTAGTAAGTAGGTGGTAGAGATGGGCAGCATGAAAGCCTGGTGTTGGTTAGGGAGCTCTGCATCATGAAGGCTTGCTTTTGAACTGGGGATCACAGCCAATATTACTAAAAATCTGTGTTTTCAGCCAGATGTTTCTGAATATCCCTTTGGCTGCTATTCAGGGAAAAAATCTTCCTGTTGTTTGTTACCTTTCTGTCGTGCTTCTAGTACAATATCATTTCTGCTTTGTGAAATCATCAGCAGTGTGATTTTTCTATGAAAGCTCTGCATTTTCTATAGTCTAATATAACATGCTTATAGGTTATTCTTAGTGGGGTCTTGGGATACTGGACATTTATTTTTACATCCTGATACACTCTGTGTGTATGTATGGTGTGCAGGAAACCTGTGTGTGTGTCCATTTAGGTATATGGATACAAGAAACACCAGCTTTTACCAAGAAGGGTTTTTTCTTCCTGGGTACTTTGTTAAGTTGCTGATAGCCTGCAGAACTGCAGAACAGCCGGTGATGTTAGGAACTTGACTCTGAAAACAACTGGTAATATTTTCACTGAGATCTTTACTTAAAGCTGAAGTAGACCTAAAATTCCTCTGTGTTAGACTTTCATATTGTTTGAAATTAACTTTCTGTTTCAACACAGTAAGAAGAAAAACTGAATTTAATATATAATTTTTGGAGATTAAATGGTGTGTGTGTGTATATATACATATATATAAACCTTCTGCAGCTCATCCACCTCCTAACACACTTCTTTGGGTCCCCTATCAAAGCAGAAGCAGAGCTGTGATAGTTCATTAAACGAGCTATTAGCTGGTTCTCTGGTTTATTCTTCTTCATATTACAGAATCTGATGCAGCATATGGGTAGGTAAAGCACGTGACACATTCAGGTGTCACGCAGTGGGTAATACAGTGGATTACATGCCCTGACTACTCTTGTTTGTGATGCTTTTATATGGATGTTTTGTAAAGTGAAAAAGAAATGTTCCTAAGCAAGGTTAAACAATAGAATGTGAAAAAGCAAATGGTATGCTATAGACAGTTCTCCTTTACAGAAGAAATTCTATAGGTATTGAAAAATCAATACCTAATATGCTGTCTTCCACGTGCATATGCAGAAATTACTGTCTCTAGTTGTCACTAACTGATCAGTTGAAGATGAAAAAATTAGTAGCTGCACTGTGAATAGCTGGACAAGTCGTTAATTCCATTTATCATTTACAGAGCTAGCTACGGACAATAAAGGATTTATGTCTTTTGTTTGTTCAATAACTATAACTTGATGTCATCATTATTCATACAAATGCTTAGACTTCTAATTATAATAAACCCCTAGTCTCTGTGTATGGCTGCATTATAATTTATTTTACAGCAAGTGAATTTATTTGCTTGAATGACCTTGTGAGCATGTAAAACTTGGAGACATACTTTCGCAGCAGCCATAATTTTGCTCTTCGGTAAACGCAAAGTTAGTCTGTGACTAAACTGTGCAGCCATAAAATGAAGGGGAAGGGATATTGAAATATTTAATTGGGTGTCTTCAATATAGAAGTTGCTCTGGGAAATACTGTCTTCCAAGTATTTTAGGAGAGGAGAAGATGGGGGAAGGTAAGACTCCGACCTCAATTTAAAGGTACATAATTGTACAAAGAAGGCAAAATATTGACAGATATGAAGGTCTAGCTAAAATGGAGGAAGTCTTAGATAAGTATCATGATTTTTCTAGGAGGCTAGCAAAGCTTCCACGTGGCAGTTATTTAGTCTTAATAACAACAGAAGACTTGAGGGAAATAAAAAGAAATAGAACTCACTTCTGTAAAGAAGTGTAGGCTGGATAGAGAAAACTGACGTTAGGATATACGTGTTATTGGGTGAAATAGTTTGAAGGAAGTCCTTTGGCTATGTCTGGAAAGCTTTTTTTTTGTAGCTGGCATAAGGGATGTAGTGGTAACTGTCTTCTGAAGTGCATCATGAAACTAGTGACATCTGTAGAAACGTGATTTTGATCTTGGGCCTGAAACATTCCCCTGTGAAGGATAGAAAAAAGTACCTTTCCGAGGTAAACCAGATGTGTCATGGTATTTAAACAAGAAAAAGCCTGGGTACAGCTGGCAAGTTTGTTAGAATCAAAATTAAAGGAAATGGGAGGGGGAAAATGACCTCTTCTGTTGCCTTGACGAGTGCTGCATTGGTAGGATCTTGTCTTACCGAGTATTGAAGTTTCTATGTTTGTGTGTTTTTTTAGTATTCCTGCTCCATGCAATAAACTGGAGTTTCCACTGAAAGGGAGCACCACTGTAGATTGTGAAGCTATCTATAGTCTTACGGCTCTTGACACCCAGTTTGTGTCATACAGTAACACAAAGTAATGCTTGATTGAGGGAAAAATGAAATTTCTCTGTGAAAATTCATTTTCATTTCAGATTTTGTTCTTGTAGAACATTGTTGTATAATGGCACACAGTCGCTATTCTCCATACCTTTGAAAATGCCCATGTCATTAAACAGAGTAAAATCTTTCCAAGTATGTTAAACATAAGTCTATTTTTTTTCTTCTGTGTAGCTGTTTAAACATGGGCCTATTCTGCAGAAAGGAGGGTTTGTGCATATATAGTCCTTTGTGTGCATGTATATTTATGTGTGTATATAGATATTTTAAATGCAAATATAAAATATATTATGTATG